GAAATGGAGGGGGGAGACAGAGGGATGGGAGGTGGGCAGGACTCTTTTAAAAGGGAACATAGTAAATAGGCCTGCACAGGTGGTGCTATTAATGGCAGCAGCTGAAGGAGTATCCTGTCAGAATTCCAAAGGCAGGCCAGTACAGGTGCCGAGATACTAACAGAGGCCAGAGTCAATAGTTCTAGCGAGGACATGGACTTGGGGGTCCAATACGCTTAAAAAATTCTTGTGCTTTCTTGTTTACCAAATTCCCCAAAGTTAAGAGTAGGCATTTTCATTATTTTTATTTCATGTGCATTATTGAAGTTTTGCCTGCATGCATGTCTATATGAGAATAGTGGATCCCCTGGAACTAGAGTTACAGGCAGTTATGAGCTGCCATGTACAAACTGAGCCTGGGTCCTCTGGAAGAGAGGCCAGTGAGTGCTCTTAACCACTGAGCCATCTCTCCAGCCAAAGAGAAAGTGTTAACTGTAGTCTGAGGTACAGAGCCTGTTTCCTTCTCTGTGTGCCCATTCAGCTGTCTGCATTACACTTATCAGGTATCAGTCTAGTCTTATTGGCCATGGTTTCTTTGACTTCAGAGGCTGCCAGCTGGTGGCTGCTGGCTGATGTCTGCCAAGGGAAAGGAGGGGAGGATGCCACTAGCTCTTACACATGCATAACAGATGGCAAGTAATTATAGTCCTACTCAACAGATTTCCACTACATACAGGTCTTCTGCATAAGGCCATGCTCCTTCTACGAAGGGGAAAGAAGTATGGGCATATAAAATAATGACTATTAACTGCATTAACTGGATGACAGAAACAAAGCTTAATTATACAAGTCTTTGTCATTATTAATACTGGAAATTTTCTAAAAAAAAAAAACAAAAAACCCACAAGTTTACTTTTTTTTTTTAAAGGGAAAAGTTTTGGAGTATGCTAGGAACCAAAATACTAATACTTTACAAAAAACAAACCTACTTCCAGGAACTTATGGTACCAAGAGAATTCTCTTATGCAGAATCAATCCAATTAATACAAGTAAACAACAGAATAACAACTTTGCAAGCTGGGGATGTATTTCAGCAGTAAGCACTCACCTAACATGTCAAAGGTCATGAGTGGGTTTAATCCTCAACACCAGTTTAGTAGTCCCTAAGAATTAATGAAGCTAGAAAATGATGATCATCAATGGTTACTGCTATCATAAGGCAGGGCACACTGTCATTCATCTGTGAAGTATTCTTATCCTCAAAAAAGGAAGGAAAGAGAAAGGCAGGTCAGGAGAGAAATGGGAGTCTGAGTGAGTGACCAATTTTCACTGGGAAATCCAGTCAACAAAATCTAGACAATGAAGGAAGGCTTTTTTTACAAGAATTCAGTTCAACAAACAAAATACAAAGAAAATAATGGAAAGAAAAGCTGCAATATTGACAACTGCATTTTAATATGAACTTAAACTGTTTAAAAATAACCCTGGGGGGTGGCAAAAAAAGAGAATGAAATGAAACTACTGGCCAGCAGGTACAGTTGGTGATTAGGGTGAAGAGACTGTGTTTGTATTTCAGCAAGCAAGAACTTGCCTAGCAAACATGCTGGCCTAGTTCAAACCTCAAAATAACAAAATAAACACAAATCAAAGAAGCCTGGGGTGGGGGTGGGGTAAAGGTCAGCAGTAGAATACTTGTTTAGTCTGCATAAGGCCCCACACTAATTACCAGCACAGCTAAGTAACTGCAGTTAGAAACTGGGTCCATGGGGCTTTATCATATTAAATGTGGATGTGTTTGAGAATCTAAAAGACGAGTTTAATTAATTAAGTTTCTTACTATTGTCTCTCGGGATGCTATAGTTAGGAGGTCTCCCTGGCTTCTCTAGATAGAAATGTATTTGGTTAGAGATCAAGAGTCCACCAAATCAAGTTTAAAGTTGCAAATACAAAGCTAATATGCATAGAAATGTACTATTTCTGATTCTAGCTGGATATAAAACTATTCAGAAAACGAATTTTACTTGAAAACAAGGTTATTTTGTTAGGGAAATTCAACACACTCACATGAGTTTTATAGTAAACTTAGTCCGTAGCATTTTGAGTTCTTCCTAACGTCTTTGATTTACGCAACATAGACTGGATTATAGCCTTTAGCTTAATATAGTAATTTCTTAAAAATCTCATTAAAGTGTAACACAGAAACACATAAATCCTAATTGTACAAAGATGCACTGTCAAAAGTAAACATCCCTAGGCAGCTGCTACTAAGTCAGAGGTGAAGATACAAACCACCAATTAACCAGATACCAGAGATCCCTCCTCATACACTTTTAATTATCTTCTTCGCCAAGAAAATCCCAAGGTTCATTTCTGAACCTGATACAAACACATACTCAAGTTCTGTCATTTGTGTAGATTCCTTTGACTGACTGGCATCCCATTTGTGAGACTCTTCCATGTAGTATAGATACAGTATTTATTTGTAGCACAGTACAGTGCCATATATAAATATTCTATTATCCCTTTATATCTATAAAGTGTACTTTATAAATCAAATAAGTACCTATACCTTTAAATTTCGACACTCAACATCAGCTTTCTTTTGGTTAAAGGCCATCTAATCTCTATAAACAGAGTAGAACTTGACATCTGTACTCTCCCAAGATCAAGAATTCTGCAAATTTCATATGTACAGGTGCTGACTTAATCTCGCAGAAGGTGATTTCTTCCAAAAAGAACTATTAACACATATTCACAGAACTTTACCCATTCTTTTCCTGGCTACATATTTCTTTAGACTAGTAGAGTTGGAAATTCTATGCTGAAAACCAACGGTTCAGAAATTCAGGAAGTTCCATGACACCACTAATCTTACCAGTTTAATCTTAAAAAAAAAAAGACATTTCCATCGGTTTAATGACAATAGAAAAAAAGAGCATGGTGCAGGAAATACATGCAAAAACCCACCAAAACAAACACAAAACAGCTTTAATATGTTTAGGCATATCTAACCCAGAACACCCATCCAATTATCAACACACTTTGGATTAAAAACTAGACCCACCTTAACTGTGTCCTCTTACTCCATTATTGGTTCTTCAAATAAATGGCAACTAAGCAAAAATGAATGCTTTCAAATGGCTTTTTTCTTTCTTTTTGATTTTTCGATACAGGGTTTCTCTGTGTAGACCAGGCTGGCCTCGGTCTCCCCAGTGCTGGAAGTAAAGGCATGTGCCACCACCATTTCTAGAGGATGTATTGCCACATAACATTAGCTAGCTGTACAGCAACTTTAGTCATATGTATTTTGGCGAACTATCATGCAGCTTTGGAACTTTAGAGGCAGAAATTTAAAGGTATTTATTTGATTTACAGTCAGATGGTCTTTACAGCCACTTAAAGTGTATTTCCCAAGTCACATGCCCTTAATGCCTACTAGCAGTCTATGGTACCCCAAGTAATTCAACTTCACCAGTGCTATGGGCTGGACTGTGCACATCCATTCTGATTCACATGCTGAAATCTAGCTCCCCAAATCCCAGACTACGACTGGCCTTTCTGTGAGTACAGTGAGGTTGTGTCGGGTGGGCCTTAATTATGCCTGTCCGGATGTTATGCATCTTCACATGGTGCCCAAGTGCTACTTCAATTCCTGTTTCTCCAGTATCAAAAATTGTCAAGTGTCCACTTCGCAAAACCCAGCTTGCTGGCCTTAAAAGAGATCAAGACACAGACACAAATGAAAAGAAGACTACAGGAAGGCATACAAAGACCACAAAGCTACACAGCAAGAAAATTAGTACCAGAAGAAACAAAAACTGCACATAAGGAAACAGTGTCAAATTCCCATCAGAAGTTGAAAAACAACTTTAATTTTTTAGGTCCTACAACTGTGAGGAATGAGCTTTTTAAAGAGCAGGGATTAAGGAATTAAATCTTTATACCAAACTACTTTGTCAGTTTAAATTTTTTAGCCTTCAGCAAAATGCTCCTAGCACCTTTTAGTTGTCCCGGAATTCACTCTGTAGACCAGGCTAGCCTTGAACTCACAAACATCTACCTGCCCCTGAGTGCTGGGATTCAAGGTGTGTACCACCACTGCCTGCTCTGTTCAGTATCTTTTATGTTGGTTTTGGTAGTTCTCAGAAAATTTATTTGCCCCTCCCCTCAAAAAAGCACTGTAGACCATCACGATCATGTTGCTAGCAGTGCTTGGGAATATAAAACCATAGCACCTACATGCAGCAGACAGCACTGAATGAAGGCAAGGAGAAGTGTAATTAACTGAAAACTCAAGTATGGTCTCTTAGCCCTTTATGCTCCAAAGTGGCCTGGTTCCATAATAACTGCTGTGTACGAGTTTCACAGTCAAGCAAATTGTTAAGTTTCATTTGGTTACAGGGTTTTCTTTTACTTTTTAAGAACAAATATGCCCCCTTTGGCTATGTAGTAAAATTTAAGGAAATAATAAATCCCATGGGTAAGCCAACAGTGAATAGTAGTATAAAATTTTCTACTTTGAAGATAAATCTCCACTTCCTAGAGATCTTTGAGTAAAAGATTAAAATAGACATAACCACTCAAGACTCCTGAACTCTAATAATACTTTACAAAACTAAGGAGCAAAGTGTTTGTCTACAGAAAAGCAGTATCTGGCCAGCTAATAACTATAATCTTTAACTCAAAGGACACAGGCTCACTGAAGGCCACACTATCTCAAACTGTATGCAAAGGCAGGGGAGAGGAGGGAGACTGTGATTGCATTGATTTATGTGTGCAATGGAGGAGAATATCCCAAAAAAATCAGAGGAGTGCTTTGCTCCTTAACATGAGAATTCTATCAAAAAAAGTTTTTTTTCCCCCTCCTTTAAAGCCCAGTTTTTAAAGTTGTTTTAAGTATTTGGTATCCAGTAATGGTAACTTGAGATGGATGCCCAGAGGAAATAAAAAGAAAATATGACATCATTAGAATTACAGGCAAGACAAAGGGAACCCAAAGCACAGACAAGAACACAGAAAAATTTTAAGAGAGTACAGATGCCATGACATTTATTAAAAGGCATGCTACAATGCTATACTTGTTAGGAAAAGAGACTGAGATTCCAAGTAACAGTATCAAATATACAAACCAAAGGAAAATGGAATCAATATTGTAGTGTACAGAAGCTTGAATTAACCATGCACTACACAGTTAGAAAATATGGTTTTTAATATTTCCTCCTCTTTGCATTTATAACATAATTCACTTAGACAACCACAGAATCCTTTTCTTCCAATACCACAAACTGTATTACAAATGAAATCTGGTACTGCTGCTTATCAAAATATACAAGACAATCGCTGTTTTCTATAAAACCACTTTATATGTTAACTTGTTCCCAAAAACCTTTTTTTTTTTTTTTTCTTCTTCTTCTTCTTTTTGGCCTGGTTTTAAAAAAAAATGTTGTTACAAATATTTACAGCATTTTCTTCTGTTAGATGAACATTCTTACAAACAGGAAAAGGGAATTTTATGAACAGACCATGTAAAACACTAGACAATGTAAGAGGCTTCTAGCTGTGCTATTTTCCCACCCCCTCAAATACAGTACTGAAAATGACCATCCATCTTTGTTGTCCCACTCCCTTCTGTTCACAGTAAAATTCCCATTTTCTGTAAGCAGTCTATTCATCAATAGGAAATGGAAAAGTCAAGGCCGCTCACTCTGCATGGGATCTTTCAGAAAAGAGCTCAAGGAAAATGCTTCACAGATGAGTTAAAACCAGAACAGACAGTCTTTGGTCAGAGCAATGAGGTGACATTTCAATGAATAACTTGGTGTGGTCAGCAAGCTTTGTAATTAGTGCTTCCTGGATAAAGGATGTTTTTTTTTTTTTAAAGATCTGGGTAACAATGAGTGGTAAAGAAAGAAAAAGAAAGAAAGAAAGAAAGAAAGAAAGAAGGAAGAAGAAAAAGACTAGAGTATGATATTCTTAATGACACCAAAAACAACTACTTAAAATACCTGTTCTTACAACTACTACAAACAACAAAACTCTGTTGACAGTGCTAAGAGAAGTTTGCCATCAGCAGCTTTCAGGCATGACTGTCATCATCACCAAGGTCCCTGCTCTCTGGAGCATGTGCTTCAGCCCGCTAGAGCTCAGGTGACCAAGGGCAGCTCTGCTCTTCCATCAGTACAATGAAACACATTGTACTGAAGGCAAAAGTGTAACTGAGATTTTGCGTATTCAGTTATAACTATTTGCTTGTATGATTAGATAACTAGTTTGTGGGACAACATTCTCTTAAACTTCATAGTACATATTTCCTGAAAATCAAAATATCAATGCTACCATAGGCTCAAATAGGAAGAAAAGGTCAATTAAGACTACAAAAGAAGGCACGTAAACTTTGGTCCTGTTTGTTTTCTCTTTTACACCCCCCCCAATTAACATTTCTGTAATTTTCTACTTTTTTTTTTTTTTTAAACAATCACAAGTACCTGTTAGGATTTGCTCTGAAAAAGACCATAAACAGTCTTCTACCTTAAAAAACCCTTTAAAAGACAGCTGAGTTACACTTTAGGTTATGTACAATCTAAATTGGTTTGTTTTAGCACAACAATCAATATTTTAAGTCTGGCAGTTTTATTCTCATTGACAATAGATCAAGACAAAGGAAAAGCTGAGAAAAATGCTCTGATCACAGGCATGCTTTTTGGTTTTAAAAATAGCAGTACACACTGGGTTTTCTAAGCGTTATGTTTGGGCTTTGTAAGTGGATTCACTGAGGCACGAAAGATCATTATTTCTGAGTTTGCCATTTTCTGTCCAAGGACATTTAATGGAACGTTAAGAGAAACTACATTATAATACATTCAAAAATAAATGTTCTGCCCAATGAAATGAAGACTTTAAAAATTGACACTCTGTAGATTCTAAGTTTTTGTTTGTTTTGGTGTGTGTGTGTGTGTGTGTGTGTGTGTTTTCTTTTGTTTGTTTTTTAATTGGGGAAGATGGGGACACAAGGTCTAATGTAGCAAAGCTGGCATGGAACTTATTCTGCAGTCCAGGCTGAGTTTAGTTGTATGCTACCATGCCTGGCTCATAAGGACTAATTCCAAATTTCAACAGGACCCTTAACCACCACAGGAGATAAAAACGAAGAAGGAATTAAAAAGACAGCAACTGTAACTCTAAAACATTCAGTTCAAACACTGCTACAAAGAACAGCTTCTAGCATTTAGTCCTGAAGATCTCATGTCATTTTATGGGAATATGGGTAATCCTGAAACTCTAGCAAACTGTCAATTAAGAGAATGCATGATTTGTCTATTCTCATATGTCACAAAACATATTTTACCAGATTTTGAGTTATCCAAACCCCAAAGTAAAACACCTTGCTATACAGCACTATTATTAAAAGTGTACTGCTATTTATTTCCTTAAGTCCTGAATTTCTATATGCTTTGTAAAAGTTAGGATACCTTGAAAAGTATATGACAACACTCCTCAAAATAAAGTAAATTAACTCAGCAAGGCATTCTCAAAGATTAACAGCAAAAAATAAACCACTGCTTGAAAGATACTGAATAAATGCATGCCAAAATAAAACACAAAGATCAAATTTTCCACCACCCCAATATTTAAAACTATGCCAACACAAATACCTCTATGATTCAAACAATAAAGAGCTCAATATGGGCAGTATCCATATGCTACAGCTAATTTTAGACATAACTGATGACTTCAAACATGCTCTTTTAAAGTATATCCTACGTTCCCAAATCTTAATTTTGTTAATTTTGTCAATAAATTAAAATGTACGTAATGTGCATATGTATATATAACATTAAAAGAGTATATGTATGTACATACACTTATTTATACACACACACGCACGCACACATATCTACACAAATCCCTGAAAAGGATTTCAATGTTCTCCCAGATTTAAAGGCCATCCCTACTTCAGAATTACATTCAACACTATTATGATTTCCCTTCTGTTATCACTAACTTTTGCTACACTTATGCTGGATGTTATGTGTCAGGAATTAATAAACTACATAGTAGTTCCCAACTCAAAATAAAACAATCCAATTTAAAAATGTCACTGAAAACTAATATATAGTGTCTTTGTGAAAAGAAAAAGGCCAATCTGGGGAAACTATCCCAATTTCTCCCCTCCTTTTATTCAGTATTCAGGTGAAAATATACCTCAAATGTGGGAAAACACCCAACTATACATACAATTATCAAGCCTTTCTATTCAGCCAATACTAAGGTGACCCATCTGAATTGTTCCAACTGAGCATCTCTATGCATGTTCTACCAACTGTTGCTTCATATTGAGGGAATTCTGATTTGATTTTAAACAATCTATAATTATCTCTTTCGGCTTCTATTTTCTGTAAAACTTTTTTCCTTTCTTTTTTAAAAGAGAAAAATGCATGACCAAATTAATGGCTGAAAATAGAAGTCTGAGATACTTTTTAAAAGATGAGATGATCAACTCTGAGAATATTAAAAGTGAAAAGGGGTGGACAAAATTGATCCCTTTGACAAATTCTGTATTATAAAAACTGATTAAGCATTGAAGGAATAATTAACATAAGCAGTTTTATGTTAAAGAAACAATTTTACATGAAATAACCACTGAAGCAACATTAACATGTACTTTACATTCAACCAAAAAAATTAAGAGGGTCAGAGTATAAAACACAACCCACTTTCTCATACTCCAAATATGTGGGCATTCAGTAATGAAGTCCATTAACAAAGAAAAGCAAGTTCTCACTTGAGTGCTGAGAAAGAACCAAGTAATCCTGAGACAAATCCTAACAGGTGGTAAAGGTCAGACAGATGTGAACTGAGACAGTTCTACAGCTTCTACTTTACATAAAGGCTGGAGGCAACCAGCAGTCACAACAGAGCCTACAGGTGCACACTCAGTCATTCCCAACCAGTCACCCTTCCCTATCCCATCACCACACCAAAGCACCAAAAATTTGAATAAAAACTATTACTTATTGAAAATCACTTAAAATTGCAATGAAAAAAGGGAGGGAACCCTTAAAATCCAAGACAAGGAAAGGGAAAAAAAAAAAAAACCAGAATGCTCACCAAGCCCACAATTTATCTTTCTAGATATTTAGATAAAACTCTAATCTATTATATCTTAAGCACATACATAATAAGGCACATAATAAGAAATTAAGTAAATACACAGTAATTCTGAGTATTAGAGATTATAGTGGTACAAAAAACCCTTGAGATTTTTTTTCTAAAAGAAGACCTTACCAAAAATAACTTTTAAAAAATCTGTCAAACCATATGATAGACCTGAATATTTTCCTTAAGACTGTAAACTTTTTTTCTCAAAACAATTATAAAAAAGTAGGATTATTTTTCTTTTAAAAGTTTCCAAGATCACATTACATTACTTGACAAATGTAATTTTGAAATTTAAAACATGATTTTTTTTAAATGATTAATTATTCTGATATTGTAACAGATTCAGGCTGAATTCCACTTCTGTATCCCTGGGGACAATTCCAACACTTTGCTTTTCCAAATAGTCTTTGAAAGAGAAGATATACATTTTTCAAAGGAGTGTCATACAGTGAAAAAAAAAAAAAAATCATCGAAAGAAAGCATGCATGTTTATAAACCTGCTTCCAATATAACTCCATGTGGTTATATATAATAACTATCAATAGATGCAAATATCTGATATAATTTATAAGTGAACATCATTTTCCACAGGGAAACTTCTGAATCACAAAGTTAAAAACTTGGTTGTAAATGGTTTAAATTACATCAAGAAATTGTAAAAGTCTGTATGTCTAAATTCCTCAAAGTACAAAGGGTATTAGAAATGTCATGTAAGGCTGATCTGAACCCAAACTTAAAGTCTTTCCTTTTGAAATCTAATTCAGGGAATTAAATTATTTAAAAAATATTTTCCTGATCTTTTTTCCTGAAAATTATTTTCATAGAAACTGCAGTACAAAGGAAAAGCAAACCTTTGATCATACATTAGTGGGAAAAATCAGACAAAAAAAAAAGGGAATATCTCTTGTTTTAAATGTACTTGAATATCAATCAAACTCCCAAAGAGTTACTTTTGTGAGAGGCAGAATTGGTCTTGAGCTGCTTCAGTCTGTGCCTGAAGACTTTACTGAAATTATGGTCCAGTCTAAAATTCAGAGAACTCAGATGGTAGACTTTGAGAAGGAAACTCTAAGGTGATGATTCTCTCCAAGATCATGATTGTGAAGCTCAATAAGGGCCTGGATTGCTTCTTCCACAGACCCCAACTGAATGAGTGCCATCTTACGATCTTTCCTAAGACGACAAGAGAAATATAAAAGCACTTAGAATTAATTTTGCTTTTAAACCTTCTTCTTCTACCAAAGGACTTTGCTGAACTACTTTTTAAAATTACAAACCATGTTTAATAATGTTAATTACTTTTGAAAGCAAGACTTACTGAAAGAATTTAAAAGCCTTCACTGAGCATCCAGCTTCTGTAAAAAGGTTCTTCAAATCATCCATTGTAACAGAAGGGCTGTGAAAATATCAGAGTGTCAACTACATTAGTCCCATGTGCAAGATAATCAAGGGTGAGTTCTGATTATCATCAAATCTCTAGATTACATTCCCAACAGTTTTCCAAGTCAAGATTGGTGTGTGTGTGTGTTGTATGTATATATGTGCATGTCTGGAGACAGTGGAAAGTATATAAAGGTAAAACAAAAACAACTGTATGTATTCTTTCAAAATGTATATTATTCTCAAACTATTGGCATTAGTAATTAACTCTAGTAATGTCAAAGCTACTTCCCCAGCTCTGGTTTACCTGTTATAGCCCAGAATTACATCCGTTTTATTGCTTTCAAGGTAATTCAGAATGTGTACGTGTTTTAGCCAGTTCCTGAGAATATTTATACCTGGACTATTCTCCTCTCATACTACACAGGTATGTCGTCTGTAATCCTTAGGATTGTATAGAAATGACAGTATGTACCAAGAACTGAATCCAGAGTTTTCTACATAACAAGTATACACTCTACCACTGAGCTACATTCCCTGGTATCTCTATGCCTGCATTTTGTCTACAACCTTATGAAACATACTCAGAGAAGATCACTCAGTCGAGCCACCTCTACGTTCCTGATTATAAGACACAAAACACATTTAATATTATGCTAAGTTTGGGGGTTATGTTATATAGTAGTAAATAACTAGTGCAGTGATCTATCACGTAGTTACATAATCAAAGGACAAGCACAACACGAACAATCTCTGATTCTTCAGGGAAACAGGACCTGTGCTTACACATTATATTCCTTACTTGTAAATCCGTTTGAATTAATTATTCTGAGTTTGAGTTTCATCAATTCACTAAAACAAATGACCTTATTTCAAAATTATGGATAAACTGGTAAAAGGCAGAACAGTTACCAGACTAAAGCTCTCAAAAGAGTGGAGTGTTATTGCTTAATGGGACAGGTTCAATTTGGAGAATAAAAAGGCAATGCAGAATAGGAGTGGATAGTAACACAAAAATATAAAACTTTTAATGTGAATGTGCACTGCACTATATATTTAAAAGTCAAAATAATCAATGCCATTGTATAGATTTCAGATAAAAACAAAACAAAAAAAGTTGTTACGAAGATAAAATGAGGTGATACACATAAAGCACTAACAGAGAACCTAGAACATGGGAGACAATTCAGAAATACTAATGTTATTTTTCTCACCTATAACTGATGACCAGCTCCAGCCTAATTGCTATATTTTCGGAACAAGTAAGTTTGAAAAACTTCAAGATTAAAAAAAAGGACTGGGTGTATAGCTCAATGTTACGGAACTCACTAACCACACATGATGACTGAGTGCAGAAATTAAAAACAAACAAACAAAACAAAAGCCCACCAACTGACCACCCACCCAGAGAGAGTGAGAAAGGGGAGGGAGAATTAAAAAAAAAAAAAAAAAAAAAAAAAAAGTCTCAATTTGTGTCACCCAATATACTCAACAGAGCATAGCCAAACTCCTGGTAGCCAGTCCCTTAAAGAAAAATGAGTACTTCCCCGACCTGCAACCCCGACAGAAGCCAACAATTGTGGAAAGCTACACTTCAGTATCCTTATCACAATTTTTTTGGAGTTCTCTTCAATGGCTTTTTGTCTAGACTGTTAATTGGGGGGGGTGGGGGACGCACAACTTTTAGCACTAGTTCCAAAGCTTCCCCCTTCCATGAGTAACTTTAGACAAAAACTGATGTATTTTCTTAATATTAAAGAATTATAATAACAATAAATATTTTCTTTGAAGGATCAGACACTGAATATCTCATGCTATGTGTGAACTATTCAATCTGTTGCAAGTATTCAATTTCTTAAGTAGCTCAAAGGCAACAAAGATGTGTAAATGAATGAACACAGTAGTTTTATACCACATTTACATCTTGTGTTATGTTCTCATGTCACAAAACACTTCAAATTTTTAGACAAATTCTTTGATGTTGCTATATTACCTGTGAGTTGTACTTTTACAAAGGAGTGAACAAATGTCTACCAAAGGAATAGCTATATAAACTTATGCCCACTTATATCCACTTAAAACAGAAAAGCAACTACTTAAAATTCTTTATTTGAAAATCCCAAACGTTTATAAAAATTTCACTTTTAAGGTTATGGTTAGGGACTGGACAGACAGCTCAGTGGTTACTGGCTACTATTCCAGAGGATATGGGTCAGTTCCCAGAACCCACATGGGAGTTTACAACTGTCTGTAACTCCAGTTCCAGGGAATCTGACACCTTGATACAGACATACATGAAAGCAAAACACCAATGCACATAAAGTAAGAATGAATAAATAAATCATTAAATAGGTTCTTTTAAAAAAGGTTATGATTGGAAACACAGGCTCTTTCACAGCTTGATAGAACATAAAAGTTGGCAACCAAGAGAATTATTAAGTTTAGAACAATTTTATGGCTTTTGCTTCTCCCAAACCATATATTGTAGATTAATCAACAAAATATTATTAGATACATACGGAATGTTGGAAAGATGCAGAGTGGCTGATGGTGGGAAGATATTCTGGAAGTTCTTCGAGCCAGGCTTTTTAAAGCGATGCAGGGGACTATTGCTGAAATCCTTAGTCAGACCTTGGTCTTCTTGTCCCTCTCTAGGGAGCTGAACTGCTTGGTGTTTGGACAGTGTAGCACGAAGTACTTTTCCATAAAGTCTCTGACCGCTTAAATGGTTCATTGCTATTGTATAGGAAGAAAATAAGGAAACCTTGAATACTGAGATTCTTTTGTTTGCTTACGTGCTTGTTTAATATTGAGATTTTTAATAATATCTGTTACCACCATTGTTTTCATTTTGTCATTTAAAATTGTAATCAGTTTGAGCTCAGAGGCTGGAGAGATGGTTCATAGGTATAGAGCACTTGCTGCTTTTTCCAGAAAACCCATGTTCTGTGCTCAGTATATACATGTCAACTTCAAACTGTCTCTAACTTCAAGAGATCCAATACCTTCTCTGGCTTCTGCCAGTACCAGGCACACATGTGGCACACAAACAAATATGCCGACAAAAATACCCATAAACAAAAGACTCTACAAATTAAAAAATATATATACAAGAACTAGGTGGCAGCAGCACATGCCTTTAATCCCAGCACTCAGGAGGCAGAAAGCAAGCAGATCGCTGTGAGTTTGAGGCCAGCCTGGTCTACAGAGCTAGTTCCAGGACAGGCTCCAAAGCAATACAGAGAACCCTGTTTCGAAAAACAAAACAAAAACTACCCCCCCCAAAAGCAATTAAAAATTAGCCTAATCAAATAAAATAACTTCTAAGCAGAGTTTAGGAAGCTCCAGACACAGAACACAATAGGTCTTAAGGAATAGTTATTGACTATATACTTTTGTCTTAAGCAAAGCATTTCTGTAAGACATATGAGTAAATATATTTTAGTGGCCAGGGAATGACACATTCTTGTACCATTACTAGAAAATTTGCCACTTTTCTATTACTCAACAGCTCTAAAAAAATCTTAACTTAGAAGGAAAAGAATATTCTCGTTTCTCTTCAGATCATATAAATTTTTCAGCTTTAAAAAAAAAAGTGAAGACTCATACAGACACATGAAAGGAAACAAATCATGTTTATCAATTTAAAGTGAATGGGAAAGTCCTAGAGTCCAAACTGTAAACACTGACAATGTATTGTGTGTTGTAGATAATGAAATTCAGAGCCTCAAGTAAAACAGGTGCAAATGATAAGGAAAACACTATCATAAGGAAGTACTGCTGCAAAATTACATCCCCACTAGTTCTACATTGCTCGTTCTGAGGGAAAATTCATATGCAAAATGGCAACACTGCTGTCAGTACCTAGCTGAGCTTGACTCGCATCTGCCATCTGCACCAAGGCGTTTTCTTTCTTGTTAAACATGATCTTCACTCGATGTACATCACCATACACTCCTAATTAAAACAAAACACAAAAAAACACTGCATTTAAATACATCGCTGTAGTTTTATCCCTATATTGACATGTTTCTTTCTCCTTACCAAATGCCATCCCGTGACAATTTCATACTGTCTTAGTAAGTTTCACAGCTTTTCATCTCTCATCTGTCACAGATATCTTATAAATACATCAAATTCAGTATATCCCCAATGAATTGATGAATTGAATCCCTCTTACCTCTTCCTATTTCTTGCACTGCTAAGGATAACACACAATTGCTCCTGTCAAGACACCCACTTTTGACATCTTAAAATTTTTTATTCAATCACCAGCACCTTTGAAATTTATGGCCTAAACCTCTCTCATGACTGTCTACATCTTCCATTCTCAAAACGTTAAGTTATAAGAATGTTATCCTTACCATTGCACTGGAGCACTACCCTAACACCTTCTAACTCATCTCATCACACCGATTTATTTTTTAATTATTAATGGTTCCCAGAATGGGTCCTACATCATAGAAAACAGGCCAGATAATTAATCTCAGTGTGAGAAGACAATAAAAACCAACATGAAAAATTACATTTTATGAATTTTGACTTTACAAAAATGAAAGCCAGGAGGGTCCATGATGTTCCCCGTGTAATGTACTATAAATATAGCAGTTTATATAGTGTATAAAAGCAGATCTCTGTATAGAAGCAACATCACTATACTTGTAATTCAGTAAGAAAATGGCTAAGATAATCTTCAAGGCAAACAAAGGAAAGATGGTTACTAACACCTAAAGAGAACTTTTAGCCTAACGATGAGCTTTAAAACTTTAAAAAAAAAAAATCGAGTGTTCAGAATCTACTGCCCCTCTCAAAAATGAAAAGAAGCATTTTTAAAAACTAAATATAGAGCGGAGCATGGTGGCACACGTCTTTGATCTAAGCATTAGGGGGAGGCAGAGACAGGTAGATCTGGGTTCAAGGTCAGCATGGCTTACACAGAGAATTCTAGGATAGCCAAGACTTCACAGTGAGACCCTGTCTCAAAAACAATAAAACCAAACACCCCACAACTGAACAGATAGTTGCAATTTGTTCTTTAAGACATGTAAGATTTCCTTTTTTTTTTTTTTTTAAAGAAGAGGTATTTTACTGTTAAAGAAAACCTACTTCAGACAAAAGAGAGTACATTCAAGCAAGTTGCTTCTGACCTCCACAAGTACACCACAACATGCATATGCCCTGTGGTGGTTTGAAAGACAATGGCCCAAATGGCTCATAGATCTGATTATTTGGTAACCAGGAATGGTACTATTTGAAAGGATTAGGAGGTGTGGCCTTGTTGAAAGAAGTATGTCACTGGGGGGTGGGCTTCAAGTCTCTCTCTCTCTCTCTTCCTGCTATCTGCAGATCTGAATGCAGAACTCGTAGCTGCTTTTTCTAGCACTATGTCTACCTGCATGCTACTATGCTCCCCACCATGATGACAATGGACTAAAACTTCTGAAACTGTAAGCCCCAACTAAATGCTTTTCATTTTAAGAGTTGTCATGGTCATAAGTGTCTCTTGACAGCAATAGAACTCTGATGAAAACATGCCCTTAATACATAAAGTAAATAAATGTTAAACTTCTTTTTAAGATCTTAAAGCCAGTAAGTGGAAGGAGAGAACTGACTATAGTGTTGTTCTTTAGCCTTCATATGTATACATGCTGCAGTTCATGTGTTATTCATATATACACATCATATATACACACAATAATAAAAATTAGCAATTGAAATAAATAGGAGTTCAATAGATTAGCAGGTATAGTTCCCACTCTTCTACACCGCAGCTCCGACTTCAAAAAGAAACCCCCCCCAAAAAAAAAGTACCCCCATAAACTCATGCATCCAAGTACAGTACAGCATACTATAGTCCTAGTTACTTTGCAGGCTGAGGCAGAAAGATTCTGGGCTAAAAACAAGACTGACTCCATTTCAGTGGTAGATGCCTTGCCTAACAAGCATAAGGCCCTAGGTTCAATCTCCAGAGCTGAAAAAAAAACAATAACCTATTCCTATTACAACTTAAAAAATTTAGAAACAAGCACATGCTCCATTTGTTAAACATTCAAATACAACAGTTTTTAACATCTGCTAACAGGAAAATATAGAACTTTTTTAGATAAAGCAAATCAAATAGGACTGGATTCAACTAAAAATATTGTACAATAATTAATGAAGAACACCAAAAATGAAATATTTCCATTTTATCCTTAGAATATCAAACTAAAATGAAAATTTATTTAAAATAAAGTATAAACAAATCATGTACCTTGTGAAACATTAACATTTTTAATGGAGAAAGGCTTTGTATTAATATTTTTCTATTTTTAACTACTGCTTATTTCATCGTTCCCATTTCTATGCTTGTGTGTTAACACTACATGTGAGTATAATGGATATATAAATCCTACGAAACTCGAATACATGCTTAATTACTATGCTTTTAATTTAGAGAAGACTGTAAGGTTTCCAACTTTGGTGGGGTTTTTGTTTTGAGGTTAAGTATGATGATATATTATTTATGACTTAATAAAGCCACTGGAGATCAAAATGCAAAGCTAGCCAAAGCTAGCTTTTCTTTTTTCTTTCTTTCTTTCTTTTTTTTTTTTTTTTTTGAGGCCAGGCATTGGTGGTAAACACCTTTAATCCCAGGGCTCAAGAGACAGATGGATATCTGTGAGTTCAAGACTACCCTAGGCTACATAAGAGTAGTCAGTCTACAGAGTAATAGAGCTCACACCTTTAATCCCAGCAGCAGGGAGGTATACAAAGGAAGAAGCAAATGGTCTCATGTAAGAGTTAGTTTCCAGACAGGGAAGGCATTGTACTCTGGAGATTCGTGGAGACAAGATCATTCATTTTGGTCTGAGGTAGAGGCAAGTGCTAGTGGTTGGCTGCTTTTCTGATCTTCAGCTTTAACCCTAATATCTGATTCTGAATTTTTATTAATCATGTTACAGATAAGGTCTCACTAGCCTGAGAAAGACTGAGGAGTATAATTCAGTGGCTCTGTCCTTGCAAGGAAGAAGTCCTGGGTTTGATTCCCAGTACTTCAAAAACAAAACCACACCTGAAAGTCATATGTCTTAATCTTGCTTGAAATGATATACTGTTTCCCATCAAATTTCTTCATATACTCTATAAACACTTTGTCACCAGTCCAGTCTCAGTTCAACATGTTTGTCTTAACACTCTCCATTGGGCTTCCTTTACCTTATCCATTCTAGTAAATCTCTACTAAATGCTATTGTTTACTGTAACATAAATCCTTTTGTACATGGTGAAGAATTGTCACTCTGATTAGTTTAACAAGAAGCTGAATGGCCAGACAGGAAAACGCTGCCTACAAATGACACCCAACATGAGGCAAGAATTTTCATATCTACACTTGTATTAGTACAGACATGTATGTTACTTTTGAAAGTTTATGTATTTTCAGAGCAAGGGGACCTGACACCAATAAAAACAAATGGCCCAGGTGATCCAGCATCAATAGTATGAATAGCTTCAAGGATGACTGAGATGACTAAACCTCACAGACCACTCCAATCAAGAATTCATTATTATCCCAGGTTTCTCAAGGTTCCCCCAAAGATAACAAACAACAGGAAGTAGTCTAGAGAGTGATGTTCACATTCCCAAGATTGATTATGGATGTTTGTCATCATTTAAGGGAAGTTGGTCATAATCAATAAAAAAGCTAAACAAAAGAGTTAAATTCAAAGACCTCTTTCTAGAGAAAAAGGGGGGATAATATATAAAAATGATGAGATAAAAGGTAGATTATTGTATCTATTTTAATTCAAAAACAACTATTAATCTCAAGAATTTTACAGTGTATGGATTTTACTTCACTGATACAAATTTAAAGTTATTTCTGTTATATTCTAAGTATGTTTCTACTTTTGTTGGGGTTTTGTGCTTATGCAGTTAAAAGGTAATATGTAATTAAGAAATAAGAATAGTTATCTATAATAGTTAAATTTATCCTAATATTAGGTATGTTTTCAAGGCCATGCATAGATTTATTTAGATAGTCTTCAAATACATCAAAGACCTTCATAATATGGAACTTAATATGCTTAAATAACCTAAGGTTTTTCATGATAGTGAGACACGTCTCCTTCTGGCAACACCAATCTACTTCAGAAAGGATGATGGGCATATCAAAGAAATTACATATGGATTTTGCTTTCGCTGTGGAAAAAGACAACCAGTGGGCAAGAAACTGCCCTTCCTCAACTGGTGACAGTATACTATCCAAAGTGGACACAGGACACAAAAGAAAGCAACTGCCAAAGTTTGCCAAAACAAGTCCTTCAAAGTTTCCAGCTTCTCAGAAAACTCTGTCAGATACACTAGGCCTATGGACTGAAGATAAATACTCCAACGTTGCAGAAAAACCTAGGGTGACCGTTCAGGCAGCCAGATGCCAGGGTCATTAAGTAACATTTTGCCCTTCTGGGTCATAGTTAAAGTTTTCTTTAGTTATGATAAAAGGTAAAGTAAGTATAAATCTTTGGATTCATAAAAATAAGGTAAATAACAGCATTTTCTCTAAATGTGCTAAATATTAATTGACTGGCTAGTATAACTGTAATTTTCACTTAATAACTTTGTTATATATAGTCTTACTAGGTTAAGTTTAAAAAACCTTCCTTTTTAATTAGACAAAAAGAGGGAATTAATCATTTTTACAAGGCGACCAAACTAAGGACAACTAAACTAAGGAGGCTGGGAAGAAGGGTGGGGTCAAAGAGTAACCAGCCAGAGGCAGAGGGGGAAGGAGATGAACGTTTCATGCTACTAAAGGTACCACCATGTGACAGAGCATAAATAAGAAATATGGGTTAACCGAAAATGTAAAAGCTAATTAGTAACAAGCCTAAACTATTGACCAAGCATTTATAATTAATATAAGCCTCACTGTGTTTACCTGAGAGTGACCACGACACAGGAAACCTCTGCCTACAACTGTTTGTGAAGATGTATAACCTCTACATCTCCTTGGCTGATTCGTCCACATTTTTCACAAGTCAGCTTAACTACCATTTCTACTGAGCCAGCTAGATAGGCGCCCCTTGCTTTATACAAACTTAAATTCCCTGATTATAATCTTTGCTCTTTCTTCAGTGTTAAACATACTACTAAGCATGTAAAAGTGATCAACAAATATTACTAAATGAACCACATGTGCTCATTTCACATCTACAGATGTATTAAAAACAAACAAAATTGAACTTACCAAACAGGATAAAAAGCCCATGTGGTGTGATAAACTGAAAAGAATAACACAAAATATAATATAGCACAATTTAAAAACAACTTTTATGCAATGTAATAAATGTAGTTTATTCTGTTAAAGCACCATTTTCTTTCTATATATCTTGTTGATACATTTTTCATAAAATCCTTAAAACAAATTTTCTCTGTCTAATAGATCTGGCTGTCATAGAACTCACTCTGCCTGCCTCTGCCTCCTGAGTGCTGGGATTAAAGGCATGCACAACCACCACCCGGCCAAATTTAAGCATTTAACACAAATCTAGACTTATGTAAAAACCCACCATCCCACTTCCTGAAAGACTACTTAGGCCATTTCTCAACTCACATCAGGATTGAGGTTAGTGACAAGCAGAACAGAATTCCCTGGTATACCACTTGCCCCAGGAATGGCCATCCTTCCAGTGACAGCAGAGGAGGTGAGCGTGAGAGGACCAAGGGCTCCAGGAACAGCTGGGACAGACAGACCTTTTAAAAACACAAAAATATGCTCTGATATTCTGTTTATCTGGAGAATAACACTTGGTAGATACAACTTAATCTAAACAAATGAACATTTAATTTAAAAGTGTACAGATTATCATAAAGGCTACCCAAGCACAGTTTTCTTCCTATAGTCTGTCTGAAAGGTTAAGTTCCTTGTTTGTTAACATTATCTTTAATTAATACCTTTCATATTGTGCTCTGCAGAGTAACTGGACTCGCTGGTCTTAAAAATCAGTTAAGCTTCATAGAGGACCTATCACCTGTAACCACTTTTCTATCCAGAACCTTCATGTCAAGTGGATGTAATTTTCATATTGACCACAAATAAAATGAGCTAAATATATATTTTATCTGATTATATTTATATGACACATATATGTCCATGTTACACATTAATATATAGCCTTTCAATATGTCTCCAATATGTATGCTTATTTAGAAAATATTTTTTAACCATTTAAGGTGCTATATATAGATCATGATCAACAATAAATGTATTATATTTTAGGACTTTTACTGTCCAAGATATTCTTGAACTACTAAAAAGGCTTCTATACTGGCACTATACTTAAAATAGTACTTTCTCAGAAGTGCCTTATATCTTAGCTTTAAAAGTATTCAAGGACATAGAAACCTCTGTTTCTATAAAAGGAGCCAGTTTATTTATTTTACTGTACTGGGAATGAAACCAGGGTCTTGCATGTTATGGAAACATTCTATCATTAAGCTATACCTTCAGTCTTGGTTCTTTAAGGTATTTTTTTTTGGGGGGGGGTAATCATCTGACCACTCTATTCTATACACAGTGTAATAAAATTTCAACAGACTTGAAATTCATCCTATTTTATTAGACAATCTAAGTATTCTAAGACTGTGCAGAAGACATTCTCCAGTTGAATGCCTGGGGTTGGGTGGTGGGGAGTAGGTTCACTTTCTATCTCTGGCTGGCCTGGAACTCTGAGATCCTCCTGTCTCAGCCTTCTGAGTGCTACAACCGATGGTGTACACCACCACATCTAGCATGAATTCTTTTTACAGTAAACTTTTTCCTTCATATGATTCACTTCCCAATCCCTTCTAATCTAACCTTGCACTTTTTGCTGCTGTCTATAGGTCAGGTATATATCAGCTAAAATAGAGCTACGTACAGCACATGTACTCTACTTAGCCTTTTAAATCTCATCAAATTAGGAGCATTCACTGATTTTTTTTTCTCTTCCCCTTAATGTATATTATTATACTGAAGTTTTAAACTACAATGTGTCTAAACAAAACACCTAAAACAAAAGAAAATGAATATCACTTCCAGGTGCAGAATTAAAATTTGGGAGATTCAAATGAGCAAACTCTATGAGATTTTCTGTTTTGTTTTGTTAAAGATTACCTATAACAGTCATATAAAGATGTGTTAGAGTGTATTAAAACCATCAAAAAACTAGGACTTAAACTTTAATCTCAAAATCAGTCATCTTCTTGAGTTAATTCTATTCTCCCCAACAAAGAGATACAAAATTTCCAGAAAATATTAAAATTATTGCCAGAAAAGAAGACACACTAAATTTTAAAATATAGCTATGGAAGATGGAAAGATGGCTCAGAAGTTAAGAGCATTGACTGTTCTTCCAGAGGCCCTGAGTTCAATTCCCAGCAACCACATGGTGGCTCACAACCATCTATCATGAGATCTGGTGCCCTCTTCTGCTGTGTAGTCAAATATGCAGACAGAACACTATATGTAATAAAAATAAGTATATAAATTTTTAAAAAAATAAATAAAATATAGCTATACGAATTAGTTAGGAATCAGAAATGTAATATATAAAAATCAGATTCATGGCATACAACTTCTTAATCACAAACCTACACAAAACCACCAACTATATGACCAGAAGGGAAGGGAAAAAAAAAAAAAAAAAAAAAAAAAAAACCAAAGCCAGGTGGTAGTGGGGCACACCTACAGCCCCAGCCCCAGTACTGAGAGGGTGGAAGCAGGAGGATTGCTGTGAGTTCAAGGCTAATCTGGTCTACAGAAAGAGTTCCAGGAGAGCGAGGGCTAGTTCCCAATCTTTAAGTATTCCCATTACAGAAAAATAGAATGCATTCCTTGAAATAAATGACATTCGTACCCTTCACTGATATTCTTCAGAACTCACAAACAGTAACACTTTCCAAAGTTGTTAAATGGTTACATTTTTACTGGATATGTAGCATTCAAAGGCATTACGAAACAAAGATGATTAAAACATCTGTTCAACATATAATAAGCTTAGCAATAAAGAAAGAAGCAGTTCATACACTTTATCTAACAACCTGACAAAGGCTAGTTTAATGTAATTAATGTATAGTTATCTGTGCCAAGAAAAATTAAGTGATTCAAAACAATCAGTGGAATTAATGAAGTGCTCAGTGGAACTAGAGACAACTGCTTGTTAATATAAAGATGCTGAGCTCCACGGTTGTTACAGCGACTGCCTTTATTTTCAATCATTCAAATTTTGCTGAGCTCCTAGAAGACAAAGAATTTCATTTAAAGATTCACTTCAAATTCAACCTGAAAAGACTCACCTGTAGCTTGAGGAAATCCAATAGCGGGGGCAAATCCAGCAGCCCCTGCATATGGAGAGGAAATTATACCTGGTGCACCTGTGAAGAAGAGAGGATACAATAAATATACTGCCTGATTGCTAACCATGCTTATCAATACAATATGAAATGCTTATATGAAAATATATTATAAATGAAACTGAACCATTATGAAATCATATAGTTGATCAGCAATATAATTGATCAGAAGTATAAAAGCCCCTGCTATCTCCAGAGGTTGAACCTTCTCAACTGGGTTCAAGGATATAGAGCATAGCTCAGCTGTTAATTAAGTCTAGACTAGGCTAAGTTTCTGGTGTTTATCTAGAGCAGGATTTTTACCTATATGAAAAAACATTAAATGCTTGTTAAACCACACTATATTGTACTTCAATAGTAGTAGTAGGCTGATGAAAAGAAATAATGAAGCTGGACATTGTGGCACGTGTTTTTAATTTATTACTGAAGCAGGAGGACCATGAATTAATTTAAGGTGTGGTTCTGTTTAAATAAACAAGAGATAAATTTTTGTCCCTGAGATGTTTATGACATACAAGTATGAACTGCAGAGATTCACATGCTGAGAGTCCTCCAGGCACACAATACAGAAGTGGACTAAGGAGGAGTCCCAGAGGCTTCACCATAATGGATTAGAAGACACATCATCTGGAAGTTAAGGGAAAGTTTGAGCTAGACAGTATGTTACTACAAAGCACAGTGTTGTGTATTTTTAAACACACAATGCCAGTCTTTTCTGTAGGAAGCCTGGTGACAGTGTCAGTAAAAAAGGGGCCAGTTAGTTCCAATAGAGGAATCAAGTGGGAGATGACTTTAAGACACACAACTGCAAACATCAAGGCAAACTCGGAATAATTATTATAAGCAACATACAGACTTGTAATTATGTTGACTTAGCCATGAGTAACCACAAACAAAAGCTCCAGTAAAAAGAGCATAAAACAATATGATGTTCATGGCTAAAGTGAAGGGAGGAAAGTATTCTATAGGCAGAAGAGAATGACAACAGCTTTAGAAAGGGGAAAAACAGTAATCCATGGGGAGGCCAATCAACAGGAGTTACACAAGAAATAAAAAGAAAGAAAACAGATTACAAAAGTTCAAGCCAAAACTGAGCTGTTTCCATTTGTATTTCCAGTTGGAAATAATTTTAGAAAATAGCCTACATATTTTCATCTTATTAAGAGATTACACAAAACATTAAGAAAACTTGCTGGAGACCATTAACAATTATTTCTAAGTTGTCATGCACTATGAAAAGTTCCACCCAACTCAAAGAAATACTAAGTATCCTGGTGTGATCATTTGGCATTGGATCATATACTTAATTATTATTCAATGTAACTACTAAAAATGTTAATTGGCATTGAGGGCAGACAAGATGGGTGAGACAGTTAAGCACTTCCCTTGCATTTGATCCCAGAAGTCACATTAAAAAGCTGATCCTGGTGGTGCATGCTTTGAATCTTAGCCCTCCACAGGCAGATACAAGCAGATACCTAGGCTCACTGGCCAATAAGCCTAGCCTAATTGGTGAACTCCACACCAGCAAGAGATCCTGTCTTGAAAAAAGGGTAGATGGTGCCGGCAGAATGATGCCTAAGTTTGTTCTGTGGCCTCCATAGGCAAGTAATACATATTTGAACACGCTAGAACACACACACACGAACACACACACACACACACACACACACAGAATATCTTTGTTCTTACTAAACATTTAGTAAATATTTAGAAGTAATGTCTAACGTATTTGCAACCTACTCTCCAATGGTTTCAAGTAGGAGGCACAGCTATAAATCTATACAAATACAATTGGAAATGATAATGTAAATGAGGCATTATACTAACAATTGAAAATATTGAGTTATTGATACTATTCCTACAGCTTATGTTATTTTAAAAACAAAGCCAGCTAAAATACTATAAACTTTAGAATATGAGTAGTTATCTTTTGTTAAGAAAAAATACTTGTTTTTTGAAAAGGTCTCTTTATGTAGCTAGGCTAACCTTGAACTCAAAATCCTTACCTCAGCCTCCTGGGTATTGGGCACATGCACTACCATACCCACTCTAAGTATCTTTATAAATTCAGACAAATAACTATTTTTTAAATAAGATTTCTCATACTGAACAACAATTACAGCATATAAAGGAAATAATAAACTTTACTATCAATAAACCCAAACAGGGAGAAATGTTATAAAAACCAATGTTATGGGATAATCTTTATACACTGTGAAGATGTGTCTCTGCCTAAAGCCCCTTCTGATTGGTGTAATAAAAAGTTGAATGACCAATAATAGCTACGAAGACGAGGATAGGCTGGACTCCCAGGCAGAGAGAAGAATTGAGGAGAGGAATCTAGGTCCACGGAGCAGATTAAGAGCAAGTCAGACATGACGGACATACTGAGAAAAGATAAAGAGCCACATGGCAGAATGTAAATTAAAAACATATGGGTTAACTGAGTTGATAAGAACTGGTTGGAAACAGGCCTAAACTAAAGATCAAGCTTTCACAAAAATGTCCTCTTGTTATCTGGGGGCTGGCAATCTAAAGATAGTCCAACAACAAGAAAGCTTGCTACACAGAAAGGACTATCATATGGAATACATAAGAAAATTCTATCACTGGGTAGTGGGTAGCACACACCTTTAATCCCAGCACTCAAGATACAGAGGCAGGTGGATTTGGTCTACAGAGCAAGTTCCAGGAAAGCAAGGACTAACAGAGAAACCACCCTATCTTAACGCCCCTCCTCCCCACAACCAAAGATAAAAACTGTAAAGAATTGAAGAGAAAATTTATAAAGAAGGGCATCAAATAAAGATATGCTCAACTTTATTAATCATGATAAAACTATTATGCTAAGACATCATTATATAGGGGCTAGGAAAGTACCTTCTGTGAAAATATGAAGGCCAAAATAGAGACAGGGATGGAGACAAGAGGATCCCCAGGGCTTGCTAGCCAGCTAGCCTAGCAAATAAGTGAACTCAAGATTCAGTGTGAGATCCTGCCTCAGAAAACAAGGAGGGAAATGACAGAAGATCACAAGTAAAGTCAAACTCTGGCCTCCACATGCACAAACACACGTGTACACATAAACACCTATTTTAAAATGATAAAAGAGAAAAAGAGAGTGTAGTCTCCAAACCAAGAGAAGCAAGCAGGGAATCTGTGTCAAATATTAAAGAACAAACTTTCATATGAGACATGAAATGTATTTTTCTCTGGGAAATCATATAGAAGAAACGAAGACATAATTTCAGTAACTTATACTCAGAAACCAAAACCTCTTAGATGTATTTTTCAAAGGTCCTACTCCTTTCATAACAGAGAATATTTGTTGAATGAGAGAGAGAGAGAGAGAATATGTAGAATACTTATTTTTTCCAATATTGTAATACAACTTGTTCTGCGTTTAATAGCCATGTTCTGGCAAGCTTAAATGTCCTATTTTTAATCAGACAAAAATGTTTTACTTAAAAAAAAATTACAAACTATTTTCTACAAAAATTTTTGGAAAAACAATTAAGTTATTTTAATGCTTTAATTTTCTCACAAATAAAAGTGGTTGGAGCTAGTCATTATGGCACACTACTTCAATACCAGCACTTTGGAGGCAGAGTCAGACAGCTCTCTGTAAGTTTCAAGGCCAGCCTGGTCTCCACATTGAGTTCCAAGACAGGCAGTGCTATATAGAGAGACCCTATCTAAGGAGGGAGGGAGGGAGGGAGGAAGGGAGGGAAGGAAAAAAGAGAGAGGGAATTAAATAGTACTATAGGTATGGACAATATTTTAAGGTGTTACTTAGCAGACAATAATGAACCACAAGAAAATGCTAGCTGGGCACTGGTGGCTCACACCTTTAATCCCAACACTCGGAAGGCAGAGACAGGCAGATCTCCATGAGTTTGAGGCCAGCCTGGTCTACAGAGTGAGTTCCAGGACATGCTCCAAAGCTACATAGAGAAACCCTGTCTCAAAAAACAAGCAAACAAAAAAAAGTGAAATTTGTAATTTGAGAAAATTTTCTTTGTGACTGAAAAAGGAACTACTCACCAAAAGCAGCAGCCATAGGAGGTTCAAGAGATGGCTGGCCATCACCAGTAGGAAGGTCTAAGCGAGTGAAGTCTCTGCTTTTGTCATTATTATATTTCACATTAAGGCTGGTGAGCTTGGAAAAGTCAATACGCAGAGTGCAGCATGCATTATAGATATTCTGGCCATCCAAAGCCTAAAGCAGATGAGAAAGGGACTGATGTTTTGTCAAGACCACACTAACTCACTGAGTAATCTCTTCTTTGAGACAGAGGCAATCTCAGCATGAAGGGGAGTGCAAAGAACAAAAGGTCAAAAACCTAGGTTTATTTTTATTATCTGAAGTTGTCTAATCAAATGAAAGAAAAATATACAAAAGCTTGAAAAACTATTCTATAGTACTATAGAAACACTATTATGGTTATTTTGCCCACAGTAAATATTTCATACCTTAATTTCATTTTAGTATAGTTTATATTGGTGAATATAATGTATTGATGAAACACCACTATAAATAATGTTAGTCATAATACATAAAATGTTTTTTTGATACTTGCTTTTTTGAATAAAAAACAAAGAGAGTCAATTGTGACCAAAGATCAGTAATCCCTTTGCTAGAATAAAATCTACCAGCAGGTTATCTGTGGCTTCTGCATGCTTTCACAAGTAGTCAAACTTATAAAAACAGACACAAACACAAAGAATGTGGCATGCAGCTTATGTTAAACTTGAGTCTCTATCTCTACACCAGTAACAAAGCAGAATTTAGGTTAATGATAGCTGTCCAAGAGAGCTATATCTAATGTGAACAAGTGTCTTATTAAAACAAAAACAAAGATTTGTGGCTTAAAAAGAAAACAACATAAATTGACAACAGCATATTTCTTAAGGTTTAATGTCTTTACCAATTCAGAACTCAGTAACAATGAAAGCTGAATATGGTTATAAAAGTAGTGAAATCTTCTCTGCTTGATTGAATACAAGTAAATGAAACCACAAGGTGAAACATCTACTTCCCAGTCAGACTGAATCAGGAGTACTATGCTTAAGTATAGATTTTAAATGCAACAAACAGCAATGAGCATCAAAGATGTGAGAAGTGATAGACTAACGCTGCTTCCAATGGGAAAGCAATGTCTTAGTTTACAATGATCAAAAGGTACTTTTAATTAAACACAAGATAACCTGGAGCAAGTGAGATGTGATGGCTCCTTCAGATACCTCCAAAGCAAGTGACTAATACTAATAATGGGAAAGGAAAAGTATAATTACCATTTTGGCATAATGTGCATTCAGTGGATCAGCATACTGAAGCAAGGCTTGAAATTGATTATTCTTTGTAAAGGTGATAATCTTCAAGACCGTGCCAAATTTAGAAAATATCTGGAAAAAAGGAATTTTTTTTTTTAACGGCAATTTCTTGTTATACAGCTCAGGCAGGCTTTTAATTCACAATCTTCTTACCTCACCAATGAGCCCCATTAATATATAAAATACAAACAATGTTCTCTATTAAAACTTCTGGTACAAAACTATATGAAAAGAAGCCTAAGATGTTAATATTTCAATACCTATGCATGATGCTGGCACACAACAAGTACTCAAATATTTAACCAATTTTATAATATGTACAAATGGTACATATTGAGTAATTAACTGACAGCTTGATACAATGATGTTCACAAGTGTATAAATTAAAACAAAGTCAAATGAGTCAATGATTTATTTCACTTCCTGTAAGTCACCAGCTACTTCTAGAAGCTTCAACAGGCAGAAGTATGATGTTCAAATATAGGCTTGTTCAAATTGCAAGACACTTAAGTACTGGCAAGTTAAAGAGCAACAACATTTCCTGCCTTTATTAAGATAATAAATAGGCAAAGGAAACCATAATGTTTGGCTATATAAAAGTATTGGAGGAGAAAAAAAAAGAGGAAGGGAGAAGGGTGAGATTAAATGAAGTACATACTAGGGCAAAACTCAAACCAGCTACAGCTCCTCTAACTTTAAGCACACTGTCTCTTTCAGGGTGTGGTAGTTTGAATAAGAAAAGCCCCCATCGGCTCATATAGTTGATGCTTAGTCACCAGGAAGTGGTACTATCTTAAAGTATTATTTAAGAGGAAGTGTCACTGGAGGTGGGCTTTTGAGGTTTCAAAAGCTCAGAGTCTCATTCTTTGCTTACAGATTGGGATATAGCTCACAGCTACTGATCCAGCACCTGCCTGAGGCCTCCACCCCATAATGATAAGGGGCTAAACTTCAGATACTGTAAGCAAGCCCCCAATTAAATGTCTTCTTTTATAAGAGTTGCATGATCCTGGTGTATCCTCATAGCAATAGAACAATGACTAAGTCAGAGTGAATGAGATACAATATTGAAGGAGAGGACTTAAAAGGAAGACTTTTTAAGGGGAAGCATTTGAGATGATACACTAATGGATATCAGCCAACTGACTCTGTAAATTAAACAGTATCCCAAGGCCAAGAAACAGAAAGGGAAGTAAAGATAGGACTAGGCTGGAGAGCAGAGAGCTAGACAGGGTTCCAGAAAAGCCAAGGTGTTAAAGGGTGTACTAAGGGTAAGTAAATGGGAGAAACGTTTATTTGTATGTGGAGCCGAAGGACTTTGGTAAAGATTTTTTTTCCCACTGGACTGGGAAGAACTAAACAATGACTTCAGTAACTAAAGACACAGTCTTAATCCAATTGATGGTATGGACTCCATGATTTTCTATATGAGAAAGTCTGTCACTGTTTGGGGGGAAATGATAACTAGACTATTAGGACATGACCTCATGACACTAATTAAGTGCACCTGATGGGTGGTGGCAATGTTGAGTCATAGGTCCAAAAGGATCTTTTAAAGAATATAAATAAGCCACAGTATTACAGAAGCAAATGCAAACACTCTGCTGGTAAGTCACAGGGGTCATTATCTTTGTGAAGTAAACAGAATAAAAGACCAGTTACACGTATTTTAACTGTTTGTTAAATGCTACTTTGTGCAATGAACAGAAAACAAATTTAACAGAACAATGAATTTAATGACTTAAGCAAATACTAAACCACTTTTAGGAAGGGACAAGGGTGGCTACAAACATCACTGTTAAAGACCCCTAGGAAATGCTTCACAGGTGCACTTTATTTTGAAACTGGTACTCAGATAATTACTGAAAGGAACACAGTAAATACTAACTGGTATATTTAGCATTTACATTCACAGCAAAGAACACATTGAGATACGAGTCTAAGTCCCATCATAAATAGAATACTGATGATGAAAAGTAAAGGAGTATCTAAGGGCTCAGCTTATACATAATATTTGAATTCAGATAAAATGTATTTCAGTTTTTGAACATACACACACACATGCCCAACAATTCTTCATTTAGTAATATAGATCCAAAGGCACTATGATTTGAATGAGCATGGCCCCCATAGGCTCAAATGTTTGCATACTTGGTTCCCAGAAATTCGTATCAGGGTATGTAACCAGAGCTTAACAGGGCAGCCTAGCAGCAGCTTGGAAGACAGTAATCTTGAAAGCTACCAGGACGGTGGAAGCCTGGTTTAAGATGTTTCTGAGGGGAGCGAAAGTATCAGTAACTGGGCTAGAGACCACTTTTTCAATATTTTTGGCTAAAACAGTGACAACTTTCTGTCCCTGTCCTAAGAATACGCCTGCAGCTAAATTTAAAAGTAACTGACTAAGCTGCTGGTGGTAGTGGTGGTGCTGGCTTTTAATTCAAGCACTCAGGAGACAGAGGTAGGCGGATCTCTGTGAGTTTAATGCCAGTCTGGTCTATAGAGCTAGTTCTAGGATTATACAAAGCCAAGGCTACACAAAGAAAGAAATCCTGTCTTAACCCATCCACCCCCTCAAGTAATAGTAATTTCTTTAGTGGAGGAAATTCCAAGACATCCTAGTATTGATTGCCATGTGCTTGTTAGTAATCACACAGATCTACAATGAATAAAAGCAAGTGAAGCAAAAGAAGTGTAAAACATTCAATTTGAAGAGAAAAAGAGCCTCAGGAAAGGAGTCAAGACTTATGCTGAGAGGTAAGATTAAAGAGAAGCCAGATCTGAAATGGAGTAAAGGGAGAGGTGCCCTTAGTGCAAGACTCCCACCTACCTAGGCCTCCAGCTTATAAAAAGAAAAGACAAAAGGAACTTTCTACTCTGAAAATAAACCAAAAAAAAAAAAAAAAAAAAAAAAAAAAAAAAAAATGTGGTTCAAGAGGGGGCTAGTTCCACTGTAAAGCAAGCAGCTGAACACAGCAGCATCATCCATGTGGTTCTGGCCTTAGAATCATGAAGGACACATGAGTTGGAGTCATGGAGTTTAGGAGAACCATTGAGGCCAGGCAAGACAGGCCCTGTATGAAATGAAGGTCCTGAGAGGGCAAAGAGTCCTGGATTGCACTGGAAATACCAAGATATTAGACATGCTAGCATTGTGAGATATCTACCAAGGAATGATGCAGACATAGAATGAAACCAACCCAAGAAAGAGATGTATCTTGCAGGCAGCAAAGCTGGAGGGGCGGAGTCATCTAAGGTCTTTGACCTTAGACATGGAGCTATAGGATCTGCTTTCTGATTTTATTAGAACTAAAGACTTACTTTAGACTTAATTAAAAGAGACTCTAAACTTTGGACTTTTAAACATTGTGATTCAAGATAGTAAGGCTCCACCCCAAGCAGGCAGCTACCACATGCTGCCTGGCCTCAGCAGTTCTCCTTAACTGCAGAAGATTTCACAACTCCTTAACTTATTTGTCCTTCATGCTGCTAAAGCCAGAACCACATGGATGACACTACCTTATTCAGTTGCTTGCTTGTGATAAAGACTATGGGTTCTTTTGAAACTGGATGAAATGCATTTTACCTTAAGATAAACCACAAGCCTATAGTGGCCATGGAGTGGACTGTGCTAGCTTGAATGAGAATGTCTCCTATAGGTTCATGTTTGAATTCTTGGCCTCAAGTTGGAGAACTGCTTGGGAAGAAGGGTTAGAGGAGGTATGGCTTTACTGAAGGAAATGTGTCCAGTTTTACTCACTAGAAAATTATGTAAGTACGTGACCTTCCAATTTGTAAATTTTAAATATCACTAGCCCCAGCTTAGTGGAATATCTTTGGTAATACAGTTCACGCGCGATACTGAATTATCTACAGAGATCTACACTGGATAAAAGTGATTAGTATAACACACATCATATATATATGTATATATACTAAAGTTTATTACATCTTATTCCCTTATTCCCTTCAGAATATGTATATGGGAAGAGGGAGAGGTTAGGACAGGGTTTCTCAGTGTAGCACTGGCTGTCGTCAAACTTACTCTGTAGATCAGTGAACTCACAGAGATCCACCTGCCTCTGTATCCTGAGTACTGGAATTAAAGGTGTACATCACCACTGCCTAGCCAAATTGTGTGTGTGTGTGTGTGTGTGTGTGTGTGTGTGTGTGTGTGTGTGTGTGTACTCTGAAACTGCAAGCAAGTCACAAATTAAATGTTTGGGGTTTTTTGTTTGTTTTTGTTTTTTGAGTTCCTTGGTCATGGTGTCTCTTCACAGCAATAGAACAACTAAAAAAAGGAAAATAATACAGTTTTGTTGATTTTTGCTGGGGTTTTGCTATTGCCTGGAGAATGCTCCCGTTTCAGCCTTTTAAGTGCTAGGATTATAAGTGTATGCCACCATATCTAGTTAAATTAGAACTTCTCACCCACTATTTTTTCCTCTAGTGTTTGGTGTCATTATCATAATTACTGGTATTAGGAATAAACGTAAGACCTCACTCATGGAAGTTCTTCATGCCACATGGTTCTACCACTCAACTACATTCTAAGCTTTGCCTTGCCTTGCCACCATTACACATCTTTTAAAATCCAAAATTGAAATCAGGCCAGGTGTAGTGATACACACCTTTAATCCCAGCACTTGAGAGGCAGAGACAGGCCTCTCTGTAAGTTTGAGACCAGTTTGGTCTATAGTGAGTTCCAGGGCTATACAGGTCAACCCACTTTTCAAAATAAATAAAGAAAATTTAGAAAAGGGAGGCTGTCAAAATATGCTTGACACAATTTCTTCTGTGAAACAGAATTATAAATCTTATTATTTAAGCTGACAATGAAAAGAAAGTATCAACCAAATCAGTAAAGAACAGATTGGGGGGGGGGGGCTTACTCTATGTAGCATTGGCTGTTCTGGAGCTCACTGTGTAGACCAAACTGGCCTTGGACTTAAATCTGCCTGTCTCTGCCTCCCAAGTGCTGGGATTAAACTTGTGTGCTATCACACCCAACTTAAAAAACAAATGTTAACTAAAGCTAGGGAGGCCACATTTGATTCTGCTTTCAGAAGAGCTTGTTTCTTACCTGATGAAGAACTTCCAGAGTGACAGGGTAGAATAAGTTTTCAATAATTATCCGGAGCACAGGGCTCTGCCCAGGTAGAACTGCACCTTCATTGGAAGGAGCTCCAGAAAGGGACAGGTTTCCTGACTGGACAGCACTGACAGCCTGCAGTGCAGCTTGGGCTCTCTAAAAAGCAAGTCAAAAATAAGAAAAATTACCATTTTTGATAACAGAAGCAGTGGATGAATCCTGAAGATGAAATGACATAACACAAACTCACTTCCATATACTTTATCTGGATGTACATATCCCAAGACCAAAACTTTCTATTTGCTTGGTTTTCCTTTATTTAAAAAAAAAAAAAAATGAGACTCAGAAGATGGCCCAGTCAATCAGTGCTGTGTAAGCCTAAGGATCTGAGTTTGATCCTCAAAACCCACATGAAAAAGCCATGAGCAGTGGTGCATGCTTTTAGTCCTAGCATAATTGCTTAACAATTCAGTTTTAAAGTCTCTGGATGGCTTAAGATAAGTGTAAGTGTAGCCGGTGTGTAAGTGGGGAAAGTAGGCCATTATTATAAGTAGGCCTCCATGCCATGGAAGCAAGGAGCTGAGGAGTAAATCAATAGCTAGGGCTGCCTTGCAAAGGGAAATCTGGACCCAAATAAGGAAAAGAAAGTATTTATGGTATATGTGTGTAAAGTGCCTTCAGTTAGTGATTACCTAAAAAGAATGAGAACAATCAGAAGAAGATGGGTGGGAGGCAGCTGATTGAGAATGCCAAAGCCCAAAGAGGTAGAAAGGAGCTCACTATATATAGGTAGTCAATGTGAGGAAGATAGCCTAAGCAAGGTGAAGAGGTCCATGGGGTGAGTAAGCAATGAAGAGGTATGAAGAGCCTAGAATGTGATCAGGCTAACCTATCAGTAGCAAGGGGTATTGTTGTACGAGCAAGCTTCCAATACATTCCCACTAAAACGAAATAAGGAATTCTAAAAAGCAGCTGTTTCGGAGCTCTGGCAGGAAAAGGAGATATAATTTTAGTTTTCTAGTATTTTTGTTTTATTTCCCAGAATGCCAAAAAAAAAAAAAAAATCACTGAAATGATGTGATGTGTCAAAAGGATACAGAAGAGAAGTTGAAAGGGATCCCATTGGTCCAGTCTTGGAAATTTGAACACCAAAGATCATCCATAAAATAAACAGGAATCCCTAAATCCATAATGCTAGCAACTGACAGCTAGTAAAGAACAGCATTTATGTTCTCTCCAAATGCCTGTAAGATATTTCTTTCCCCCTTTTAAGTTGGGCCTTCTATATGTGCAGGTACAATATCTAAACACAGATGAAAAAACTTCCATCTATACACACACCTTCTTTCCTTGCCATTATTCCTTAAACAAAATACATCAACTTGGGGTTTTTTTGTTGAGACCAGATCTTAACTACTATGTAGCTAAGGCTGTCCTGGAACTTATCATCCTCCTTCCAGAGTGCTGGGTATTATTACAAGGGCATATCACCAGGCCTGGCAATATTAGCAACTATTTACGCAGCATTCATGCTGTGTTAGGTATTTTAAGTAATCTAGAGGGGATACTGAGATGTTAAATATACACAACAATGTGTGCTTATGATATACACATACAGCTATTACACCCTTTTACATAAGTGGCTTTAGCATCGTTGGATTTTAGGAAGGGGTCCAATGATTAATGGGAGAGAAGTGTACTGACTCCATAGTACAGAAGCCTGGCAAACACTATGTCACTTCTCGATTTGTCAAAGATAAATATCCCAAATTGAATCACAAGGAAACGTTAAGACCAACAAAAGTTAAGGGACATCTTTATAAATAAACTGCCTTTCAGTTAATGATGTTAAGGACATCAGATTAAAAGAAAATCAGATAGCCAGTCAGTGGTGGCATACACCTTTAGTCCCAGTACTCGGGAGGCAGAGGCAGATGGGTCTCTGTGAGTTCAAGACTAGACTGGTCTATAAGAGCTAGTTCCAGGACAGGCTCTATAGCTACAGAGAAACCCTGTTTCAAAAAACTCAAAAAACAAACAGAAAAGCAGAATTTGTTTAAAATGACTAAAAAGACATAACCAAATGGAACACATACCCTAACTATACCATTTGCTACATGCAAGTATCATAAGAACAATTAGCAAAAACAAAAATGGGATCTGCAGATGGCAAAGTAATGTAACAATATTAATTTCTTTTTCTTTTTGGGGTCCAGAAGTAAACACTGAGCTCATGACCTAATGCACACCAGGCAAGCATCCTATCTTTTTCACTTCAAGATGAAGTTACACTAAGTTACTTGAGCTGGCCTTAAAACATCCTGTATGGTCCCAACAGGCCTTGAACTTATGATCCTCCTGAGTAAGTGTGACTGGAGGTCTGTGCCACCAACCCAAACCAGTGCTGACTACCTTATTCTAGTTGGTAGAAGAAACCTCCCCATTTGTAGGAAACACACACAAAGTACCAGTCAATAATGAAGGACTAGAGTATAAATTGAAACTTTATACTCCTACCTGCATATATTTTCTACACTTGTTATTTCCTAAAAACTTACAATAATTATTTTTAAAGAAGAGAAAGGAGAGTAAGTACAACCTGCTTGATCTGTATAACATTAAATGTATGTATATATATATTTTAGGGCTGACATTTTGGTATTGGAAAAATTGTTATGCTCTTTACCCGAGGAAGACGATTTCTTTAGCTCTCAGCATTCCTTAGTTACCTGTGGTTCTTTGTGCATGATTGAGGCCTTGTGCACCCCAACACCAACAGAGACAGGGTTTCATTATGTAGCCATGGCTGGCTTCAAACTTAGCCTAATGCTGAGATTTCAGCAAGTTTCTCCATGCTAGCAATATTCACGTAAGAATGGGGACAATTTGAAAACTGTGTGTGCATATAAATGAAAAATTCTACAAATTTAATATTGCGTTCATTTCCACACATTGTATTCAACTCCAAAATGTTAGTCATAGCATTGTTTACGATTTTTCTAATGTGAAAAGCTTGAAGTTTTTAAAGTAAATGCCTTTCTCAAACATGGGAGCCTTTTACTTTCTGTATGCTTAACTCAACAAGTCTCCCAGCCCCCTATTCTTTTTCTTTGTTTTGTATTTGGAGACAGGGTCTCACTACGTAGCTATGGCTGTCTTGGAACTTACTATATAGAGCAGGCTGTTCTTGAATTCAAGAGACCTACCTGCCGTTGCCACCCATGTGCTAAAATTAAAGGTATGTGCCACTGTGTCTGGCTATGAATATGTTCTTTGTCTATTTTAAGTACTTGAAATATTACTTACAAATCAGAGAAAACTCTCTTTTTAATTTACAGAATACTTTTTAATACAGACTACTTTGCAAATCTGTATGTATGTAAAAGCCACACTAATCTCTGTATCAATTCCAATGTTAGTACACATGCTGAAATGAACATAATCCTTTTAAAGACGCTAGTCTACAAACATTTTAATAGTGATCCATACCAATTCAGATTTTTTTGTCTTGTTTTGTTTTCTGAGACATGGTATTGCTTTTACAGGTTTGAAAACGAATTCAGATTTCCATTTTAATTTATAATTGGTGTGTATGGGGTGGAGGTACTAATTAAAAAAAAGATACAGGATTAGAATTAACCAGCAAATGTTAAAGAAGGGCATACAAAATATTAATCAGTGCTAATTATATAGCTAACAGATTCCTACAATAAAGCCTAGATTTTACCCTGTTCAATATATCAGCTATCAGGCACAGAAGCTGGGGAACTAATTTAAAATTAGCTAAATATAGGCCATTACTTCTGCATTCGGGTGTTACAGCTCTGGAGTATCTGGCCAAAGACGTTATCATAATGAGCATTCCTCTCACTATAAATATTAAATATCAAAAGCACGTGCAACTAAACATAAAACTCATCTCACTTCTTATGAATCAGTCTATTAATGTTAATTTTATGTGAGTGGTTGCTGCTGCTAGTTTTGTGGCTACTGTTCTTCACTTTTCTCTTTGGCAGAAAAATATAAGAGTTATGGTGCATACTGTCCTAATCACTATGACATTCAATATAGTCTGCTCTGGTGCTCACAGAGCACTGATTCAAGCTTTCTAAATAACTAGCAAGAAGGTAAAAATATGCCTTTACAGTGGGGGTGTGGTAATGCACACCTGTAATCCCAGCATTGGGGAGATTGACACTGGAAGATCAAAAGTACAGGGAGGGAAAAGGAGGAGCAGAAGTAGAGGAATGAAGACAGGAAGGAAAGAAGGGGGCTAGGGAAGGAAAGAAAAGAGCTTTTGAAAGTAAAAATCCAAGAGGGGCAGTAAAAATATGATACATATATTTTATAATAATAGATTTTGAGCTTTTTGTTTTGTATTGAGACCTGGTTTCCTGATGTAGCCAAGGACATTTTGAACTAAAATCTTCCTACCTCAGCCACTCCAGTGCTGGGGTTATAAATATGCATTAATACCACACCAAGTCCTTAGTTTTTAAATAAGCAAAAATCTGAAGATTAAAAATGCTTCTGATTAAAACTGCCATGTAATAAAAAGTACTACTGTGGAAGATGACTTTTAGACATTTGGGCAACAATTCTAGAATGATTACACTATTAGGGGGGGAAATAGAAACAGTATAATCAACAAGCACAAGAACTTTATTAAGTTGGAGTGAAGAGATATATTTCTTATATAAAGCTTAAACATGCCCAAGGGGACATGGTGACACATACCTGTAATCCCAACACTTAGAGGCTGATAAAGGAGGATAGGAAAAGGGCAGACAACCTGAGCTACAAAGTGAATTCAACCAGGCTATGAATTGAGTTCAACCTAACTTGGGCATCATAGTGAGTCCCTATCTTAACAAATAAAATAAAACACAATGTAGCTATGTGATGTCAGGAACACATTTCCAAAGTCAAGAAATTAGAAACTAGCACAAAGTGAATATTCTTAAGTTTAATAATTTAGAGTACATAGCCAGGAGTTGGTGGTGCACACCTTTAGTCCCAGCACTTGGGAGGCAGAGGCAAGCAGATCTGTGAGTTCAAAGCCAGCCTGGTCTACAGAGCTAGTTCCAGGACAGGCTCCAAAGCAATACAGAGAAACCCTGTCTCGAAAAACCACTAGTAGTAGTAGTAGTAGTAGTAGTAGTAGTAAGTAGTAATAGTAGTAGTGCACTTTAAAGGTAAAATCCTTACAAAGCCATTTCTACAGATTCATAAACTACTTAACAAGGTCAAGAAAAACTCCAAAGAAAGTTGTTTTCAAATTTTGTACTTCATAAGACATTATATTTAATAATTATAATTCTCCTGTAAATCAAGGAGGTAAAACTACTTTATACCAATGGTTCTCAATCTTTTTAACACTAAGCCTTTTAATACAGTTCTTCATGTTGTGGTGACCCCCAACTATAAAATTATTTCCATTGCTACTTCATAACTATAATTTTGGTACTGCTATGAATCGTAATGTGTTTTCCAGTGGCAACCTCTGTGAAAAGCTAGTCCTGCTCATCAGCAGGTCGTGACCAACATGTTGAGAAACGTGGACTTAAGTATCCACAGCTAAGTTGATTGCATGCTCTAGGTATATTTTGATTAACTCAAGAGAACAAAAAAGGGAAGAAATGTGAATCTACTACAAACAAAAACCCAACATTATATAAACAGGCACTGTTCATTGTGACTTCATGTTTAAGTGTAGAGTTTGGAATGAACATTGCACAAAAGTGAAAGCTTTAAAAAAAAAAAAAAGTGTTCGGAAGAAACCAAGGCTATTTAAGAATAAACTAGGCCATTTGGGTGCCTGTGGTTGCTACGCAACTGGGATTACTTACTGTTTTCCTATGGCAAAATCCAATCTTTAAGTTTTTATTAAATTACTTTTCTCCTGGAAATTTATACTAACATACTTAGAAATCAGACTGTTGCAAAAACTATGAATTACATGACAAATGTTTAAATTCTACTGACAAAGCAGAACTTCTGGCAAAAAAGGATCAGAAAATATGTCAATTATTTCCAAACTTACAAAACTCAACCCAATTCCAATTTTTTAAAAAGAAAACAGGAGTTAGCAAGCTAATTTTAAGAACTATAATCAGTTAATTTCTGAAGAGACAGTATATTGCTCCTCAATAGTGCACACTAAGGCAAGAAAGGAATAGAAAAGTCAGGTCCAAACTAGATTTGGAGTACATGGCAAATGAGCAACATTCATAACACGTGTATATAAATGAATCAGTAGATTAATAAATGGGTTATTAAATAAGTAATCCAGAATAAACTCATTTTGCCTTAAAGAAGAATAAAGCCCTATCTTTATTCTCCAAAAAGCCAACAGGACAACAAGACTTGAATATCAAACTGAAAGCAATCAAAAGTATTGGAAGAGGGGTTGGAGAGATGGCTGAACTATTGAGAACATGTGTTGCTCTTGCAGAGGACCTGTGTTGAGTATGCAGAACCCACACGGTGGTTTATAATTATCCATAATTTAAGTTCCAAGCAACATAATCTCAAACAAGGTGGAAGGCAAGGAATGTATAGATACCCAAAGTTGTCTCTGATCTCTACACATAAAAGTCACACATTTGTGCCCACACTAAGATGTACAAACATGAACATATTACATGCTCACACATACACACAAGTATACTCATACATACAGGTTTTTTTGTTTGTTTGTTTGTTTTTGTTAAAAGAAATTACTCTAAGAAAAACTACTGCAAATAATTGTTATAAATTATTAAGTAAGGATTTAACAATAAGATACACTTATTTAATACCATATTAAGTACAGAAAGCAATCATGGAACAGACAGTAAAACATACATATGCTTAAACCCAGGGATTTTGCTGTTAGAAACAGGATCTAGTAAGATAAGGTTCCAAGTGTGCCAAAACGTGCAGTACTATTAGAAAAACCATAAAACAGGACAAACATTTCAATGCTTATTAAAACCCTGGGCAACTTACAACTCTTCTATCTAAGGGAATAACAAGCAGTCATTAAAAATCCAAAAGTGGCTCTATATCTCTTGCTGTAGAACAATGTCCATAATATTTTATTACAGAGTAAAAATGAAAGCACTTCATAAACCACAATTCTATCTGCACAGTTACATACACAGATATCACAACAGAAGAATACACAGGAGACTATTAGCATCAATTATCAGTTATACTGGCCAAATAGATGCTTGCTTTATTCCTCCATATTTTTTGAGATTTGCTCAAATGTTTAACCATGAGCAGGTTTCTTATTTGTGATCTATAAACACAATTTTCATTCAAGAACCCTATTCTAATAATTTGAACTATAGCTCAACAGTGCAGTACCCTTTAGCATCCCCAAGAAAGGAAATGAAAAGAGCACGAGTGGTGATTAATAAGTAAAATGTCTGTTCTATTAATATCAAATTCTGTATCAGTTTATTATATTTCATTATTTATTAAAATAAGGATTACATGCAGGAAAAGTTTCTGTATTAATGTGGAAAATATTAATTTAATACATTTACAAATGCAGCTCCCAACCGAACTAAAAAGCTAGAGAATTCTTGGCCTAGATCAAGAATACATGCAAAATTTTCTTTATATTAAAAAAAAACTTGCATTCTAATACTTACTCTTATACCCACATGCTGTGATACAATCATTTTGTACACTGTGAAAATTTGTCATTCATTCGGGTTGATTTAATAAAGAAGCTGACTGGCCAACAGCTAAACAGAATAAGGTTAGGTAGGAGAGTCAAAACTGAAGATGCAGGGAGGAAGAAGGGTAGAGTCAGAGAAGTCACCAGAGATGCAGGGAGAATCAAGATGAGCATGCCATACCAAGCCACATGGTAGAGTAGAGGTAAGAAATGCCTAAACTATTTGGCCAAGCATTTATAATATGAGCCTCGGTGTATTTATTTGGGAGCTGCTTGCAAGACAAAAACTTCCACACACATCTTTTATCAAAAAACCTTCACTTTGCAGCAGATGGGAGAACATTACAGAAAACCCTAACTAGTCAAAATGCAGAGAACAACTGATCACCAAGAGCCCAGCCAGTCCCAATGGATAAATTTACGATACAACCTCTGCACTCAAGGCTCTAGGACATCATGGGAAGAAAATCTAAGAGCCAAAAAAAGGACAGAAAGTCTACTGTGGGATGGTATCTCTGGCCAGAACAAGGATGACACCAATAGACATGCTCAACTGGAAGAGGAAAATCTCACAGTTCCTACTCTTCTCTTAGCTAAAGAAAAGAACCACAGAAAGTTGAGGAAGGGAGACTTACTTAGTCTTCCCCAAAGATGAGAACCTTAATTGGTTACACAACATCAAGTGGTCCGCCATGAAATCATTTACACAGACGCAACACTAATAGATACAGTAAGTTTTGTTCACATACACATGTAAAAATAGTAATTAAGCTGGGAGGTAGTGTCAGGGCATGCTTTAATCCCAGCACTTGGGAGGCAGAGGCAGGTGGATCTTTTACTTCTGAGGCCAGCCTGGTCTACAGGGCAAGTTCCGGGATAGCCAGGGCTACATAGAGAAACCCTGTCTTGAGGGAGAGGGAATGGGGGGCACAAAAACAAATAAAAACAACATGTATGACAATAATAAATAAAAAATAGTTGTGAATTTGGGAAGGAATGGGAGGGATTGGAAGAAGAAGGAAAAGGAGAAAGAGATCTAATTATATTTAAATTTAAAACTCACACACTTCCTTAAAACGAACTTGCTTTCTAGATTTTTTTTCATGTTAAAGCAAATTTCTATTTAATCACTTAAAATGAACCTGAAAAGACACAAGACTCACCATGAATTTAAAAAAAAAAAAAAGAATAAAAAAATTAAGTTGTTAATTTGTCCATTCATTTGACGAGTTGAAACTCATTGAAAGACAATTTCTGACCAAATTCTCTACATCTTAATATCACAACAGGAGTATCACCCTGGCTAGGGATATAAAGAATGCTTGACAAACACACAACACCCTGGAAGGCCAACTCCAAGCTTTTATTTTCTGTCAAAACAAGGGCTAAATTGAGTGATTTCTTACATTCTTTTCATATTTGCAATTTTAGATGGTACAGAATTTTATCTATTTTTAATTGTGAAAATATTGGGGGTGTGTTACTTCTTGCTTCTCCTTAGTCTTCCTGTGTAGTCTAGCTTCCAACTGATAGGATTACAAGAATTTGACCCCATATATGGCCTACTAAGTGTCTTTTCTAATGTTGTAACTTCCAGTGTTTCCAAATGAAACTGTTTTTATTAAGCCTTTAAGAACAAATTATATACTAAATCTTAATAAAGTATACTAAAATGAAGAATATATGGAGGCTTTTCTCTGAAGTATAGAAATTAATTTAAAAGTTATGATAACGTTTGTATAATTATTCTTATAGATGTCTATAATACTTACAGCCTGATTAGGCAGATTGTCAGTCTTAAGTTCTCGGTGATTGGAATACTGGATATAAACAGGCTGACTTCGTAGATGAGGAGTAACTGGAGTGTAATAATTTACCATAGTAACAGCAGCTTCTTCAGAAGCCATTTCTAAAAAGGCCTGCAATAAACACAAAAGGTTGTTAAGAATTACTGTATACTTTGTACTTTGTCCAAACTCCTGCTTTCTCACTATATATAACATTGTCCCCAAGAGGGAATAAATTTGGAAAACTGGTTTCAATAAAAGTTTTTGAAGCCTACTATCTCTGTGAGTTCAAGGCTAGCCTGGTCTACAAACTGAGTTCCAGGACAGCTAGAGCTATTATGGGGGGGGGGGGGGGTTACACATTTGATAAATTGCCAGTTGATTGTTTTCTGTTTGTTTTTTTTTCCCCCCACCTGTTTCTTCAAATGCCTAAAAATAGTTATTCAGGTAAGAATAAACGTTTGCAGCCGAATGGTGGTGGTACATACATAATACAAGTACTTGGGAGGCAGACGCAGGTGTAACTCTTAAGTTCCAGGCCAGACTGGTTGGTCTACAAAGTGAATAGAACAGCTACACAGAAATGGATGGATGGATGGATATAAGAGTTTGTATCACCATTACAAATAAATACTTTCAGGAGTTATGATTTAATGGGGTTTTTGTTGTTTCTAAAATCTTGGGACTAAATTGCTAGAGTACACAAAAGAAATAATGGAATTTTACTCATAAAGGAGTTAAAAATAAAAGTCCTAGTGTGAGTGTGGTGGTACACACCTTTAATCCCAGTACTGGGAATAGAAGTGGGAGAATCTCTGAATTCTAGAGCAGCTTGGTAGAGAACATAGTGAAACCATGCATTAAAAACAAACAAGACAAGTCGAAAAGCCTCTTAAGTTGGTGGAAAAATGCTACTCTGCCTAAATTCTTAAATAGGAACTGGGCACAATAATTGCCCTTCTTCTTTATTATAAATTAGCCATCTACAAATGAAAGGGAACATTCTTTTTTTCAGTTACGGTTCCTATCACCTCAAACACTTCCAAAAAGAAGCCAACATATCTGATCTAATAAACATCAGGGAATGAGAACTATCATGGCTTAAGTAAACACCGAATTTAAATCTCCACCTACCTACAATAACTTGGTCACAGACACCCCTGGGCCTCGGTTTTAAAATGTACAGCTATCTAAGGAATCTGTAACTCTTAAAACTCAAACATGAAATGACCATTAAAGGTTAGAGTACTAGAAGGTAGTCTATCTGGGACTCTGTAGAAAAGAGCTGTTAAATATTAGCATATGAAGGCATCAACTGAAAATAGTACCATACTCATTCAGTTTTTCTCCGGCAAATTTTTAATTTTATATGTTTTGTGTGTGTTTCCATTTTTTTATGTGTACAGGGTGTTTTGTCTCATTTGTGTCTATGTAATAAATGTATACATTTCCCAGATGCCAGTAAAGGAAATTGGATTCCCTGATATTGAAGCTACAGATTGTTGTGGGTAATGGGAAGTCAACCCAGATCTTAGACTAGCACTCAGTTCTCTCCAGCCCCCACATTCAATTTTTTCTAACTTTTCAATTATACTTTTTTTCTAACCAACACTCATCCTATATACTTTAAAGCAAAAGCCACATACAAATCTAAAGTGTGTGTGTATATATATATATACTGTTTATACACTGTATGCATATCTACACTGTGTTTATTTGTATATTATGCATGTGTATATATATCCACATACATACCACAATCTATAGTGTGTGTATATATCCACATACATACCCCTCCCACCCAGCACTCTGAAATATTACCAGCAAAGAATAGGACTGGGTAATATCACATTTAAAAACAAAACAAAACCTCTTATGAATTTTTTTGTTATACATATGAGATATGTTTGATTACTTAAAGGTTTCTTCCAAATTTAAGATTTATGATAAGAATTTAAGACTTAAAATCCCAACCCACAATGAGAAATCAAGCATTCATTGTGAGCAGACAGCATTAATTTAAGGTACCACAAGCTTGCTATAGTCCATATCCACTTATTCATCTCTGCTCTTGTGAAGAAATCTTTTTGAACATATACTTACTGCCTTATCTAGAACCCTATTGTCATCCATGTCTCAGCCTAACTCTTATTATTTTAACTAATGCTCCTAGAATTTAGAAGTGTTGAGGGCTGGGCTATGGCAGCGCATGCCTTTAACCCTAGTACTCTTGATGCAGAGGAAGGCGGATCTCTGTGAGTTAGAGGATAGTCTGGTCTACAGAGTAAGTTTAAGGACAGCCTTCAAAGCTACAAGAGAAACTGTCACAACCCCCTCCCCCAAAGAAATAAGTGTTCAGGGACTCAAACACAGATGTATACATTTATAAGACATGTATGAATACAAATATAATCACAATTCACAATAAAATAGCTTTAAACCCTCCAAATAAAGACTATTTTTAAAATCAGATGCAAAAGATCAGTTACTGAAATAGAAAATTATAGGAACTTCCTGGTCAGTACTTGAATTTGAATCATTCACTTGGTATCGATAATCACTGTTCTATACAAGATGGAAGAAATAGCACGGGAAAGCAGGGATTTAAGAAGCTCCTTACATCCCATGTAGACGGCTGTAATTTCTGTGATAGGATTAAAATGGCAATAGAACTTTCTTACTTTTGTTGTTATCTGGGGAGGGCACAGTCTCTCTACATAGACCTGGCTATCCTTGAACTATGAAAGCCAGGCTATTCTTGAACTCAGAAATCCCCTGCCTTGGCCTCCTGAGTGCTGGAATCAAAAAGCATGTGTCACCACACAAATTTTTACTTGATCAAGATTTGCCTCCTTTTTTAAAGGCTGATGAAAAAAATAGAATATAAACATACCAACCATATTAAGCACTCAGACCTACAAAAGTACCTCAAATTTATGTAAAAATAACCTGATCAAAATCAGCATAAACTTTTTCTTACATAATCCTTTCTCTGGTTACAAAAGAGCATATAATAAGCAGCCATAATCACTTCAATTTAAGTCATTTAAAATTCACCTATAATAGTTACTGGTAGTATAATTTATTAAACACTAGAAATGTTGAGAAAACCAGACTTGCTGGTGAATGCCTTTAATCCCAGAATTGGAGAGGCAACAGGCAAATGGATCTGTTCAAAGACAACTCTTTTTCTTTAAACACTAGCTGCAGTTGGGCAAGGTGGCAGATGACATTAATCCCAGCACTTAGTAGACAGAAGCAGGTGGATCTCTATGAATTTCAGGCCAGCCTGTTTTACATAATGAGCTCCAGGGCAGCTACAATTTCATAGTAGAGAGGTCTTGTCTCAGAATAAACAAACTGAAGAACACTGGCTGATTTGATCCCAGGTCTAATTCCCAGTACCACTTGGCAGCTCAGAATTGTAACTCTACTCCCTCTTCTGACCTCCATGAGTACTAGGTGTACATATGTGCATGCAAACAAACACACGTACACATAAAAAACTTAAGTAAATCTTTAAAAAGTAAAAATAAACTTTCCATATAGGATCCAGACAAGTCTTTAGTAATATTTTTCTGAAATAACAGTAAAGAGTTCCACTTTCATAATCTGAAAGTTATAACCCATTACAACGCTGGTTATAACACATTGCAACATGTTACAAATTTTGGCCTAGATTTGGTGACATCTTCCATTACAATTTGGGCATACAAGATTTTCAGGACAACCAAAACTATTCTAGTAGGGAGTATGAGTTGGAACAAGGGGCACTCAGTTCTACAAGCAAGACAGTTAATACATTTTGTCAGATACCAGAGCATGAAGTTTCCTTATTCACCTTAAGAAAAACTCAGTTTCAGGAACATTGAAAAATGCAAGTTTTTTGTTGTTGTTGTTGTTTTTTGATGGAGGGGTGGAGAGAAGACAAAGACACAAAGAGATAAAGGAGAAATACACTAATGGGAAAAAAATATGTGTAAACTATGTATCTGATTGGGGTCATTATTCAGAATAGATAAGGAATTCCAAAAATTCAACTACAAAACTAATAAACAATTCCATTTTATTTACTTACTTATTTAATTTGGTTTTTAGGACAGAGTTTCTTTGTGTAACTTTGAAGCCTATCCTGGCACTCACTCTATAGACTAGACTGGCCTCAGAGATCAGCCTGCCTCTGCCTTCCAAGTGCTGGGATTAAAGGTGTGAGCCATAATTCTACTTTAAAAAGCCACAATTCTACTTTAAAAACCAGGTATTAGAGCTGGGCCTGTTTGTACACAGCTATAGGTGAAGGCTCCATAGCTTAGGAGTCAGAGCATTAGTATTGCACATGGTGTGATTCCAGAAGGGAGGAGGTGGAGATAAGAGGTTCTCAAGATGACAAGTTGAGAGGTCAGTTTGACCCTGGCCTTGGAGGGTAGAGAATAGATAAAAGACCTAAACATATTTTTTTCCTCAAAACAAAATGATCAACAGCTATTTGGGGGAAAAAAAATTCAATTCCACTAATCAGGGACATAAAAACCAAACTTACAATCAGCTGTTTGATAATAGAGTGACTATTATCAAAAAGACCAAGGGCAGGGCCAGGCATGATGGTATACAATATTAATACCAGGAATCAAGAGATAGACACAGGAGGATCTGAGTTCAAGGCCAGCCTGAACTAATTACAGTGAGACACCCCTGCTTCAAAACTTAAATAATTTTTAAAAAACTAAAGAAAAAAAGTATGTTGAGAATATGAAAAAAAGAGCCTTATTTGTATTCCTAGTAGGAAAATTGATGTAGCTATTATGCACAAAGTAAAGAAATTACTTTTTATAAAAAATAAATAAATAGAGCTAACATATAATCAAGCAACCCATTACTGGGCATTTATTCAAAAGCAACAAAACCAGAAGGTCAAAGGGACATCTGCACTCCCATATTTATTTCATTACTACTCACAGCAGTCAAACCACAGAAACAACTTAGGTGTCTGTCAACCAGTGAATGGATAAAGAAAATGTGCTACATATATACAATTAAATGATTCAACAATTTGGGAAGTGGGAAGGACCCATGTTGTATTTAGTAAAATATGCCAAAAAAGAAAGATAAACATTGTATTATTTCACTAATTCATAGAATCTTTTAAAATGCTGATCTCACATAAGAATTCAATAGTATATATCAGAGGCTGACACAAAAGACTTGGGTGGGTGGGTAGGTTGATCAATGGGTCTAAGGAGTAAAAGTTTGATCATGCTATCTCCCAGTTACATAAGTTGATAACAATGACGGAGGGGGGGGCGCAGCCCACACACCTCAAGCCTTTAATCCCAGCATTTGTGAGGCAGAGGCAGGCAGAGCTCTGAGTTCAACTAGTTCAACATAGAACTACACAGGAAAAAACCGTTTTGAAAAACAAAACAAACAAAAGCAAAAAAAAAAAAAAAAAAAAAAAAAAAAGAGCATATTATATAATTAAAAAGGCTAGAACATAATTTTAAATGTTTTCATCATAAATAATATTGTCAGGTTGTAACTCAAAGGTAAAATATATGGCTAGTGAAAGCAAAACCCACGGCTGCCCGTGCCCAACCCTACCAAAAAGGAGGGGTGAGGAAGGTTTCAGATGTTTTGAGCATTCAGATTTTAAGCATGATATACTTATGAATTAAAACAGCAAGTAGTATCCCATCTTTTTTCTTTCTTCTTCTTCTTCTTTTTTTTTTTTTTTTTTTTTGAGACAGGGTTTCTCTGTCCTGCAACTCACTCTGTAGACCAGGCTAGCCTCGAACTCACAGAGACCTGCCTACCAGTGTGTCCCAAGTGCTGGGATTAAAAACATGTATCACCACCACCCAGCTTCATATATACAAACTGTACATTTGCATGTATCTATTAAAATTTGTCCTAAAAGGTGAGGAAGAAAACAAAAACAGTTTGGTGAGTAGGAATGAAGAGGTGGTATGGGAAGAGTTGTTGGGAGGGGATGAGTATGATCAAAACACGTATCATGTATGAAAAACAAAAAGGTAATAAAAATCTTAAAAAAAAAAACAACTTAATGTAAAAACTCATTTGTATAATGAAACTTCTCTTATATCTCTCAAATTATTAGTTGTTACATGATAATTCTCCCATTCAAACACTAACCAGGCCCAACCCTGCTTAGCTTCGAAGATCAGGTGCATTCAGGGTGATATGCCCGTAGACCAAAATAATTCTATAAATAGTATTCAATATAGTATTGAATACACATAGTATTCAATAATTTTATTGAATGAGTGACATTGTTTCAGTCTAGCCTAAAGCAATAGGTTACAACAGACCAAAGATTCACAGCAATCAATTAAAAAAAAAAAAAAAAAAAAAAAAAAGACAGCTCAAATAAATAAGAAAAGTCACCTACTGTAAATCTATCCATTATATACAAAAAATTCAGAGAGAAAGAGAGAGGTACCCATGGACCTCAGGAGAGGGGTCAGATCCCCTGGTGCTGGAAACTGAACCTAGGAAATTTCCACGAGCAGCAAGTGCTCTTAACTACTGAGCTATATCTCTAGCCTAAAAAAAAAAAAAAAAAAAAAAAAAAAAAGTTTCCGCTTTTAAAAAACTAATTGTTCAGTCATGTCTCCCTAAACACTCAATTCCAAAGGAGGTAGCACTTAACTCTTTTGTTGTTACTGTTGTTTTGGTTTTGAGACAGGGTCTTTCAACATAGCCCTGAGTGTCCTGGAAGTCACTATGTATGTAGTCCAGGCTGACCTCTAACTCACAAAGACCCACCTGCCTCTGCCTCTCTAGTGCATAAAGGTATGTGTCTTTATGCCCAGCTGCTCCCAATTCTTGAATCTCACACAAAAGCCAATTAGTATGGAAATCTTTAACTGTTCATTGCTTGGACAAAGCATAATTAATAACTTTGCTATCTAGTAATTACAGGATATTTTTAAGAACCATCCTATTGTAGAAAACATTAAAATACAAAAGTAGGCTTAAGAAAATGACCTCAAGTCAGTAAATAAATACTCCTGTTTCTTGTGTTAATTTTTGTCTGTTGTCATACAAAGGGGGAAAAAATCTACTTAAGAACTAATTTGTAAGCCCGGCATTGATGGTGCATGCCTTTAATTCCAGCCTCAGGAGGCAGAGACAGGAGGATCTCTGTGAGTTCGAGTCCAGCCTAGTCTACAGAGCTAGTTCTAGGACAGGCTCCAAAGCAATACAGAAAAACCCCATCTTGAAAAACAACCCCCAACCCCCATAAAAGGAACAAAGAAAAAGAACTAATTTCTAGTGATGGGATAGTGAAGGATAGCTGAACAGCAGTATGGCACACAGCCCTGAGGTTCCAGATACATAGATGGCTAAACTTCAGAAGGGTCACTTGAGATTATGCATTTGACATCAACCAGAGCAATAAAGTCCCTGTCTCAAATCAACTAGTTAATCCTTAAATTCAAGAAAACAAAAATTATCTGAAATGCTAACACCCACAAAATAATCACTCAGTGTCAATCTTTAAATATTACATACCTGGCTTTTTCCTTTCAACATCAAAAGATTAGTTACTTTGCCAAATGGTAGACCTAATGATATGACCTCTGCTTCGGTGACATCACATGGAATTTTGCGAAGATGGAGAACACGGGAAGGCGAACAGGGAGGTCTATCTCCTTTAAATTTCTTGTTGTCATTCCCATTAGCTAAAAAACATAAGATTTTTTTTTTTAAATTATTGAAACTAACTTGGGTTGACATACTGCATTAACTGAATTGTCACACAACCTTCTAGTGTATCAGTTTTGAAATTCATGGAGCTACAGGGTTGATGAGAATGATTATGAGTGGAAAATAAAACCAACCACCTTTTGATGAGCCACTTTTACTTTTTCATGGCGGCCATTAATATTAATTGTCTGTTTTCTTAAGGAAAAGTATTCAGATAAATGAATTATATTGGTTCATGAAGTGTCATGTACACCACCTTCATGAAGTAAGCACTCAACACAAGTATACCTTTCCTATGTTTAGATACACAACACTTTAACAAATGTCTACAGTATTAAATACAGTGACAATGTGTACAGGTTTGCAGGCTGGGGCTATATCACATATACCGTATGTGAGTATGTAAACAAAGTATGTAGTAAATAAACTGCCTCGGTCTGTGTAAGCACACCCTAGGATGTTTACTTACTAATGACAAAAAAGGCAGAATGAATGCCAATTGCTAACTGAGGTATGACTATAACTCTATATTCAAATGTTCAGAACAATATTCAGAATGTCTCATATATATAAGTTTATTTTTATGGGTATGATTGTTTTTATAAATACATGTATGTACAATCTACACGCCTGGTGCCCAAGGAACCAGAAATGAGTACTGGAGTCCCTAGAACTGACATTATGGACAGTTTTAAGCTGCCGTGTGGAAAACTGAACCTGAGTCTTCAGCAACAGTACCAAGTGCTCTTAACAACTCAGCAATATCTCCAGCTCCACTAATAATTTGTTCAACTGTTAGGTAAAAATTAATTAAAACAATAAACTGCAGGAAAGATTATAATATAAATTTTGTGTCTGATACAACCAAGGAGAGCTGAATGAGTTACATGTAAAATTTTAGTTTATTTCTTAGGCACTATAGGTTTTAATCACTCTATCTTTATATTAGTTAAACTGTGTTCTTATGATAACCCTACTCAATAGTAATAGCAGACACTGGCTGAAATTCACATTTTCTAATACTTAATTAAGTACTTAAAACTACAGATGTGCTACCTATCTACAGTATACCATGTCCACCACAGTGCTGTTCTGTCCTGAAATTTCAGAATGGCTGTTGCAAAACTAAACTCATATCTTAGCACATAGCCAAATTTTATTTAACCTTACTAACTAGGATTGTCCTACCTATAACACTCACTCAGGTATATGTAGGTGAAATGCAAAAATATTTTTCTTCCAAGAATAGAATGAAACCAGGCAGTGGTGGCACACACCTTTAATCCCAGCACTTGGGAGGCAGAGGAAGGCAGATCTCTGTGAGTTCGAGACCAACTTGGTCTACAAGAGCTAGTTCCAGGACAGCCTCCAAAGCCACAGAGAAACCCTGTCTTTAAAAAAAAAAAAAAAAAAAAAAAAAAAAAAAAGACAGGCTAAAAAGAATTATTTAGAAGTTTTGTTATAATGATTTTAAATATTTTATCCCTTGTCTGTGGCATACAACCTGACCTAAAAATAGATGAAATAAACTGAACACTTACACAGGCAACTCTTGCTCCTAAATTTCCCACAAATCAGGAAGTGTCCTGGGCAGAACCAACAAACAGGCACTCACATATTTGCTGGTGAATTAACATAGTACATCAAGAAACATGGCCTGTCTCTCAAAAATCACTTATTTCTTTTATCTCCACTTAAATATCAATGTGCCTTTAGACTTACTTTCTTATGGATCCCCACCAATGTCCTTAGAATTTAGTATGAAAACCTAACCAAAAATCTGTCATGTCAATAACTCGCTCTAAGAACACTGACAGGCTGAGTGGTGGTGGCTCATGTCTTTAATCCCAGCACTTGGGAGGCAGAGGCAGGCAGATTTCCTGTGAGTTCAAGGCCAGCCTGGTCTACACAGCGAGAGCTAGGATAGTCTCCAAAGCTACATAAAGAAATCCTGTCTCAAAAAACCAAAAAGAAACAAACAGAACCAACCCTGACAGAGTTCCAAATAACTAAAATATCCTCTAGTTTCTTATTTTAAAACGTTTTCACTATAACTGACTATTCCATAAAAAAATCCAATAAAGGTTTAATTCTAAAGGCAATTTTTAACCACAAAAGTCTCAACAGTATTTATTGGGGGGGGGGGAGCTTACATATACAAATAATAAATGGTAGTTCTGCAGTAAGTTACCAGAATAAAACCACAAACACCTACTATTCAGACAGAAGCTGAGCAATGGCATACTATTGTTGCCTAGGGGCCTCAACACTAATGATCACCATGGCACTAACTGCTTGAGGAATCTCCCCCAAAGCATGGAGCTACTTAATATTCTAAACTGAATATTCTAAACATAATAAAGGAAAATTAAGAAGGTTGTTTCTTGGGCTTTAAAGATGGCTCAGAGGTGAAGAACACTTGTAGGTCTTGTAGAACACCTGGGTTTGATTCCCAGAATCCATATGGTGGCTCACAAGCACCCATAACTCCAGTTCCAGGGAATCCAATGCCCTATTCTAAGCAGCATGGGCATCAAGTGCACACATGGTGCACAAACATACATGTAAGCAAAACATTCACATATTTAAAAGTAAGTAAATCATAAACACAATTTAAAAAAGGGAGGTTGTCTCTTTGACAGAGGGATCCTAATGTTTGAAAAACGAAATGCTAGAAGTGATAAAGTTATTTGAACTCCTACTGCATTGCACTATCAATAATAGGCCTAATATGGCAAACTTTAACCAAGACACAAGCAGTTATAAACAAGCATTTTCAGGTAAGTAACTGTTCTGTATGATAAAAAATACATGGTCAATGTTAAAGAAAAGGAAAGGTAAAAAGAAAAAAAGGAAAGGAAATGGTACTTGGACAGCTGTTCAATCAGATGTCCTGTTCTGGACAGACTATTTGTTACCATACATACATACATACATACAATAATAGGGAAATTATAAAACCCAATCATCTTAACTTTCAATATCTTTTAAATACCTGGCATAATGTCTAGTACAAAGCAATCATTAAAAACAACTTTTCAACCTAGAAATTACATTGTTTCTACTGTTTGATATCAAATGATTCTAAGACAAGATTTATTAGATCATAAACAAAATATCACCACACTATGTCATTAGTCTACAAGACTTTGTAATAAAGATAATTTCAAGTATATAAATACAAAGATTATTTCACTCATTTGTTAATTATTCACTGGTACCTCCCTCTAAATAAGTGGGGTGGTAGTGGTAATTACAACTGTTATTTGCCTTGTTTTAAACTGTAAAAAAGGCTTTTTAAACCTTTTTTTAACTAAGCAAGGCTACGATTTAATAAAGATATTTCAATATATGTTTGCTAGGTTGTTCTGAACAAAGACATACCCCAGATCATGATTGTGGTTTCTCAAAGAGTCACAGAAAATAAGCTACATCCAAGTTCATCTATTATTTGATCTTTTGATATATTATCATACTTTGTTAGTTTCTTTTTGTTTTATTTCATACTTGTTACCAATGACTATAATTGTGCTTTATTTTTTATTCACTTATTTGTTTTTGTTTTTCAATACAGGATTTCTCTGTGTAGCCCTAGACAGCCTTGAACTCAAGAGATCTACCTGCCCGTCTCCTGAGTACTGGGATTAAAGGCTTGCATCACCACTCCTGGCCTAATTATGTTATTAATTTGTGATAAGGTCTCTCTCTCTTTTTTTTTTCTCTCTCTCTCTCATGAGATACTTTATAATTTCTTGACCTGTTCTCATATGCATGGATTAAGTCAGGCTGATCATGGGAATATTATTTCATGTTATGTTAATTCAAAATAGAGATGAGAGTGCTCTGATTCAAACCCAACTACAGACTTAGGAATATTTTTATTTTCTGAAATATGGGTAGGTGACAAGGTTTGACTTCTTAATTAGGAAACAGATTTTCTAATATTCTCACAGCTTTCTTAAATTGTATAATATTATCACTTCTTAGTCACCAGTCTATGAGGAGACACCATAACCAAGGCAACTCTTTATAAAATAATGCATCTAACTGAGGTCATTATCATCATGGCTGGAAGCAAGGTAGCACACATGATGCTGAGGTAGCTGAGAGCAACATCCTGATCCATTGGCTGAGAGAGAGGCTGACACTGAGCCTGGCATGGGCTTCCAAATCCCCACCCCTACCCCCAACCCTACCAGAGATATATTTCCTCCAACAAAGCCACACCTCTTAATCCTTCTCAAGTAGTACCACTCCCTGATGACTAAACATTAAAAATATATGAGCCTATGGAGGCATTATTCAAATCACCACAATCACCATCACTCCCCTAGTGAAGAGAAAAATTAAAGCTGGATTTAGTTATCAATCTTTTCCCTTTGGTCTTCCAGTTTCAAGGGGGAGAAGGAAATTGGATTTTTATTCTTATGTGCAAGTCTAGTAATAATCTGAGACTTCTGTTTTGAAAGTACAGGAAAACCAACCTCAGAAGGACCACTAAGACTCTCAATCACATACACAGTCAACCATGGATATACTGTGTTCATCTTTGTACATTTGCTAGAACACATAATATCAAGCAAAATATTTTTCTATAGCTTTTGCTTTGCACTGTAATAGTATTACTATTATCATAGCTCTATAAATAGACCACATAATCAGCAGCCAAGTCAAGAAGTAGAACACTGAACTGGAAAGACAGCTCAGAGGTTAAGACCTTTCCAGAGGACCTGAGTTCAGTTTCCAGCACCCACAGGAGGTGGCTGATGACCACCTACAACCCCAGTATGCTAAGATAGCCACAAAGAATGGCATTCACTCACACCAGAAAACACACAAGTGTTATATATACATGAGTCTTTTCTCCTTCGATTTACATTTATCTTCCAAATATACCATTAGCTTATTTCTCACAACATAGATATTTGTGAAGCTAATAGTATATATTTATAATAGCAATATACAAAATTATTAGTGACTTGAACTTTAGATTTTGTCTCCTGATAAAAATCTCAGATGGAAGGCAGAATTCCTCCAAGCAGAGGAGAAAACAAAAACAGTATACGGAGATACCCTGCAAGTCCCTTAAAACTCTTGTACTTTTTTAGTCAAAACCATTTCTAACCAAAAGGATGACTTTAAAAATAGCTATTTAATCTAAGTAACAATGGGCTGAAATAAAAATCAAGAATAAAAAGAAATAGTATCACAGTTTCTGCCATTAAGATTATACAACTATATTTAAAGGAACAGTATGATTTATGAAGTGTGAATTCTTTCATAATTATCAGAGGACCAGAGGGAGGGGGCACCTTAACAGAATGGAACCATGTTCAAGTTCTCAAACAGAAAACACTGCCCTATGTGTCACACTACAGAGTTCTTACCTCTACCAATGCTCAGACCAAAAGGGCAATCCTGTCCTCAGACTATATTTCCAGACTGCATCTGTCTCCACCAAACCTCAGACTGCACTGAGCTCCTGTGTCCTCCTACCTTATATTTCTCTCTAGTGCTGGGATTAAAGGTGTGGAACCCCAAGTACTGAGCTCTCCTTTGTATGAGCTCTGTTTCTCTTTTAGACTGGATCAATTTCATGTAACTCAGGGTGGCCTTGAATTAACAGAGATCTGTCTGTCTCTGTCTCCTGAGCACTGGGATTAATTAAAGGTGTGTGCCACCACTGCCTGGCCTCTATGGCTAACTAGTGTGGCTAGTTTTGCACTATGATCTTCAGGCAAGCTTTATATGTTAGATCATAAGCAAAATACCACCATGCCAACATATTATAGTACCAAATTTAATTAATAAGTTGAATAAAATCTGAGTCTGTTTTACAGATAAACCTTATAGAAAGCTACTGTTTTAGAACTAAGTTTCATAATTTAAAGCTCTTACAAAATATGTACCTACAAGAAGAAAGGTTTCTGTTTCACCATGTTTATTGATTTTGTGTACACACATATATGTACATGTGCAGACATGTTTGTATCATAGCAGACGAGGGGAAGTCAAGAGGACAACAGGACTTAGTTCTCTCTCTCCGTCATGTGAGATCTGGGGATGGAGCATAGATGTCACCAGGGCTTGGCAGGGCTTGACTTCCTGAGCACCTCAGCAGCCCAAAGTAGATGAGATTTGAAAAGAACATAAACAACATTTAAAGAGAATAACCGTAGGTCCCAAGTTGCCTGGGAAGTAACAACTTGGCTCCAATGCTCCTGTATCCTTATGAAACATTTTTTTAAAAAATCTTCATTTTAAATATATCTGTCTATAATATTAGCTGTACCAAAATAAGCCAGAATGGTGTTTGGTAGATTTAATTCTTTAGCCTCAGGTTTCTGCTATAGTCTCATCTACTCATTTAGGACAAAGGTAAATCTCAAAGTTAATCAATGACAGACTGACATCTTTACGAATTCAGGGACAGCATACAGAGCCTTTGATTTAAAAGCAGCAGATACAGTAGGATGTAAATAAGTAGGAATCATTAGCTTCTTCTAGCAGCTTTCAATCTTGTTGCCTATTACCTATACTCTCTCCCTCACATACACCCTTTCATGGGCAAGGGACACATAAAATATAACCTTATTCTGTTTAGTATCTTAGGATGGATCAATTCACAATTTTTCTTCACTAATTTCACATGCAGTTTTTCCTGTATGTGCCATAAAGAGACAGTCAGCCAATTCCTAATTAGCAGAGTTTTGTCATCTCCCCAGCTTCTTCTCTGGTGAGTCTAATGTAAGCTCAACTTTACAAAACTGGCTTCAGTCTCAACTCCTGTTTCATTCTGTTGGCCTGTTCATATTTACAAATTCCCTTTCCAATAAAAAATTTTTGGTAGGTTAAAACACAGTGAACCCATTCATAAATTTATTCAACAAATACTATCTTTTCTCCTTAACTGACACTTTCACTTCTCATTCATTAAAAATCACATAGATTTTTTACTGTAAACAGTGGAACATAAAAATATATGGGGTGGGGGAGGTTGCAAAACTTACCATACACACCTGAAGGAGTTGAATTGTTCATGGTAGAAGGTCCGTTAATGACACCAGGAGAAAGAAGCTCATCAGATCCCCGCTGAAAAGCAAAATTGGTGCTCACTTAATAAAGCAAGTTTTAAAGTAATGGTTTATATTTACTACTAAATTTACTAAAAGTTAGTATTATTTGTTTATTTAAATATAATGATATTTTAAAAGACAGTTGGAGCCAGGTAGTGGTGGTAGTCCCAGCACTCGGGAGGCAGAGGCAGGTAGATCTCAGTGAGTTCAAGGCCAGCCTGGACTACAGAGTGACTTCCAGGACAGGCTCCAAAGCTACAGAGAAACCCTGTCATGAAAAACGAACAAACAAAAAGATCGGCAGCTGTTCAGTAAAGTCATCCAAAAAAAGAAAGGGGGGGACATTGGGGGACTGGAAAAGAGGCTCCGTGGCTGGGAGCACTGGCTGCTCTTCCAGAGGTCCTGGGTTTAATTCCCAGCAACCACATGATGGCTCACATCCATGTATAATGAGATCTGGTGTCCTCTTCTGGTGTGCAAGTATATCCATACTGTATACATAATAAATAAACCTTTTTAAAATAGAATTTATATACATACTGGTCAAAATCTTATAATTATTGGTTTCTATACCATTAATCCTAAAAACTATCTTTGGCGAACACTATTTCTCCCACCCTACCCCACCCCTGCCTTTATTTTTTGTTTGTTTGTTTGTTTGTTTGTTTTTTCAAGACAGGGCTTCTCTGTATGGCCCTGGCTGGCCTCAAATTCAGAGATCTTCACCTACCTCTACCTCCGAGTGCTGAGATTAAAGGTGAACACGACTGGAGGTGTACACTATATCTTAAGCAAATATGTTTTCAAAATTTAACTATTAATGGTAAAAGAGAAATCTGTCTCCTGATGCTGCATATTGGCCATGCAAGATAAACACCCTACCAGCTACAGCCCCAGACTTGGTTTCTCTGGAAATTATATTATGTAGCCAAGGCTGGATGAATCTTTCTATCCTGAAGCCTCAACTTTGCAGACCGAACCACAGTATCTATCCTCTCAATGACAAAATGTATCAGACAATCCTTTTCATTACAATCCTAATATAGATCACCGAGGTTATAAAAGGATAATAAATATGGATTAAAAAGTCAAAGCCAGAATGGAGAGATGGCTCAGAGGTTAAGAGCACTGACTGCTCTTCCAGAGGTCCTGAGTCCAATTCCCAGCAACCATATGGTGGCTCACAACCATCTGTAATGGGATCTAGTGCCCTCTTCGGACATGCAGGCAGAATACTATTTTAAATAATAAATCTTTTTTTTTTAAAAAAAAAATCAAAACCAAATCTATTTCAAATGGATCAATTTATCCTGGTGATTTTTTGTTTTTCAAGAAAGGGTCTCTCTGTGTAGCTCTGACTGTCTTGGAACTCGCAGGCTGGCTTTGAACAAACCGAGATCGGTCTACCTCTGTCTTGAGAACTAGGATTAAAGGCATGCGCTACCACCACCCTTGGTAAATTTTTAAGAATAAGTTATTTTGGCTCATTGGGTTGTCGACAAAACTTAGTCTTCAAACAACCGTAAATTTTAGAATAATACTACCACAAATATTTTCATTTTTGAGTTACATGTGTGTATATAAATGTATGTCATGGGAGTAGAGGGTGGCCCAAGGAGGCCTGAAGGAGGAGTTGGATCCCCTGGAAACAGAGTTACAGGTGGTTGTGAACTGCCTAGTGTGGGTTCTGTTTTTCTACAAAAGCAGTTCTCCAGCCCTTACAACGAACATTTGGCATTTGCAGAAGGACTAATTTCAAAGTTTATCTGCATTACTACAAATATAATTATTTAAACAATTCTTGTTTTCAGCACCTAGAAATTACTATCCTCAGCTCTTTTATTTAAGTTTATCAGAGACACAATGGAATTAAATAACAAAGCAGCAGAATGAAAAAAATTTCAAGTCCTCACCCAAAAGACCAGGATAGTGCCCCCACTTAAAGCATAGGCTTTCCTAATTTCTGAAATAAAGATACTGTTTTGATAATAATAATCATTATTGTCTAATAATGAATGAACAAAATTTATACTTTGCTGTCTACCTGCAGATAAAGTTAAGGTTTTGAGTTTTAAATATAGTGGTAATCTAATGTATCCCACATGATATTTTGTTGTTTTTTGGTATTTTCTTTGTGTAGCCTTGGCTGTCCTTGAACTCGCTCTGTAGATAAAGCTGACCTCAAACTCATAAAGAACCACCTGCCTCTGCTTCCTGAAAGCTGGGATTAAAGGTATGTGCCACCACCACCCAGCTCCAACATGGTTTTTAAAAGAAGGATTTGGTAAAACGTATTTTGCTAAAAGATATATCTTCTACATACATGTGCCTTTAGTATTGATATGTTTCTTGTCAAAATAGAACTGGTTTGGTAAAAAGGTTCCTAAAACCCTGCCTTTGCTAAAAACCACTGACTTCTCACTTGGGCCCACAAGGTGAACTAAAAGAAAAATGAAGCCCTGGTAATTCTCCCTTCACTTTGCAACTACACTTCTTTTTTTCTGCACAGAGGCATGTTAATCACTACCTAGGAATAGGTAATACCTAACCTCTTGTTTCACACTTCAAGGCCGAAGGCACAAAGAGAAGAGTACCTGAGGCATCTTAGAAATGTCCTATCCAGTCCTGAGTCAGTGTCTCAAACCTGCAGTCACCATGAATTCCAGATACAACAGAACCTCACAGAACAGATCATGATCCAAATCACAGTACTGACTGACCATGAAGCAAGGCACCACTCTGAAGCATGGCTAATTGTCTGCGAAGCAACTTGTTCCTTACTGTAGTAAGAACTCCTGACCACCTTGCAGAACCAGAAGAGACGATAAACAAACCACAACTTCATCAACTTTACAAATGTCTTGCTCCATCCACCATCATGCTTCCTCTATCTAAACCTATATTAATACCACAAAGATGGACATGGGGACCCCTCTTTTTTGTTCTTTCTAATGCATGTTGATTACATTTCCTTTCTCTGTTCTTCACAATTACTCATTTCTTTCGCTCACATACTTGGGACAGGTGGCTGAGGCCAGCGTGTTGAGACTGCTCTAAAATTCTCATTATAGTGTGAGCAACCCTTTCACAAAATATTCTAAAAATGACTATGTTTAAATGTCAAGAAAAAAAATACTTTCATGTGGACTGCAAAATAAAATAATAAAGAGAAAAGTGATTAAAAAAAAAAAAAAAAACTCCTGAAGACAAAGGAATAACTTTGTAGTCTTGGGATAGGACATCATTTTCTTACACAGGAAACAAAAAAATAGCTGAGTATATGATCTCAAGAGGCTGTTGCAGGAGGACCACAAGTTCCAGGCCACCCAAAGGTGCACAGTGAAACTGTCTCAAACAAGTAAAAATACAGATACAGACTTTAAAATTAAGATTTATATTTAGAGTAAAAGAAAATATGATAATGGCACACACATACATGTATGTGAATAATCAACAAAAGATATACCTATAACCTTCAAAGAATAAAACACCATAAGCAAAAGAACAAAACACAAGAAACAAGAAATGGGGGGCTGGACAGATGGCCCAGAGGTGAAGAACACTGATAGTTCTTCCAGATCTTGAGTTCAACCCCCAGAAACCACATGGTAACTGACAAGCATCTATAAAGAGATTTGGTGCCCTCTTCTGACATGCAGACAGGCCATTGTATACATAATAAATAAATCTTAAGGGAGCAGCAGCACCTCACAGTAGACTGTGACCACTGGAGAGCACCTGTATTTTGTCCTTTGCTGTGAAAGAATTACCAACCCTCCATTCCTGGCCCTATGACTTGTGATGCCTGGAGTAGGAAAACTTCCTGCCTCGCTGACATTTGGTCTCTGGAGTATGAACATGACATATATTTAACCCAAGCACAGGCTAATCTTTCTTGACAAGCTTTTCTTGTTTCACTCTATAACAAGAACACAGAAGGAAGTCTTTAGCATCCCAATTTCCAGCACTGGAATAAGTAAAACTACCCACAGTGGAAATGAACAAGAAGTATTTTTCTAACATTATATGCAATCAACATTGGAAAATAAGTTTAATCTTTATTCAGGGACATGTAAGTTAAGACCCTAACAGAATACCACCATGTGAAGAAAGGTGACAAAATGGAGCATTGGTAAGGAAGAGCAACAAACTCTTAGAATTAAATGCAACTTTAACTGGGTGTGATTTAATAGGAATATACACTGGTACAGCTTTTTAACACTATTCAACCTACGAAAGTCACACATGAATATCTAAAGGATCCCTGTGTGCCTTATGTACACACTTAGACATAAGAGCAATATTCATGCAATGGTTATACAGGAGCAGTAAGGAGCTAGTGTCCCATAGAACAGGTTAATCTCAAAAATTAAGAGGTCAATCACAAAGAATACACTACTTTGTGTGATGTATATGTGTAAGGGAGTCGGTTCTCGATTCAAAAATCAACAAAAGTGTTCCATAGAAGGAAAAAACTGTATCATAGGTAAACAATTAACAGTATTGCCAAGGAGGTCTTAACAGGTAGAAAAATGAAGGCATCATGTGGCAGGTGTGGGAGGAAAGTTAGTACTGTACCAACAGTCTCCTTAGAAACACATGGTCAGTTTACATAAGTCTAGCAATTTCCTGTGGACTTGTTAGCGCTCTGACTAAGTCAACACATAAATCAGCTTCATTTGCCTCAAGCATCAATTACTGATGTTCCCTCCTACTGAAAACAATAAAATATACAGGAAAAACAAAGCAAAGGAATACTGTGATTAAGCAGTACAAATAAAATAAAATGTCCCATTATCAAATTTGGTGGGAACTGGTTTTATTTGCAATTCAAGTGAGAATATTAATGTGATTGAAAAATAATCTGTACAACTGAGAAAAGGCCACTGAAATAACATGTAAGATTTTGAAACTAACCCAAAATCTAAATTTCATATCATACCTAACATGCACATGGAATTCTAGGATATGGTATCATTTGTTTTATTCTCTATCAAAAAGAATTTTTTCTTTTTC